TGTAGTCATAGAACTTGAAATTGGTTATATGAATTAAATCATATTCAATTAAAGATTTTTTGCTGTTGTGCAATACACTGTGATGTTGCGCAATACTTAGTAAATCTGATGTCAGACTATAAACAAATAAAGTTCAATTTCTTCTCAATGTCATATTTGAAATTTATGAAAATCAATAGGGAGATTACATCAATAGCTAAGTTTCATGCGAACTGCTTAAAGCATTTTTGAGTTATTGTCCAAAAACTAGAAAATCCCCCCTTTTTTAATGAATAAAACCCCATAACTCAGAAATGTAAAATGTAAAATTTATAAAATTCTAAAGGGTGCTTACATCAACAGATATACACAATTCACCAATTTTCATGAGAACTGCTGAAAGCATTTTTTAGTTATTGTCCGAAAACTGGAAAATCCCCTTTTCTATTATGAATAAAACCCTGTAACTCATAAACGTAAAATCTAAAATTTATAAAAATCGAAAGGGAGCTCGTGTTAATAGATATAAACAATTCACATAAATTTCTTGCAAGTTGGTGAAATCATTCTTTGAGTTATTGTAGGAAAACTGGAAAATCCCCCATTTTTAAATGAATAAACCCCAAAACTCAGAAACGGTAAATCTGAAATTTATAAAAAACGAAAGGGAGCTCACGTCAATAGATATAAACAATTCACCCAAGTTTCATGCATATTATTTAAAGCGTTTTTGAGTTAATGTTCGACATGTTGAGGACAGACGGACAACGGTATATCATAATACGTCCAGTAAACGGGTGTATAAAAATGAAAAGCTATAGGACCAAAGGATCTAAAAGTAATAAACAAATCCAATTGATTAAACACTGATTACTAAGCTGATGATATAAATATTAAATAAACGACACTGCTAATTTTTAGTGTTTGGTACAAGTTGGCTGTCAGTGTGCACTGAGACTACCGTGTTATAGTAGTCTCAGGTGTGCAACACAGTTTAACACAGTTTAACATAAAACCTTTGGAAAAAACAGAGAACTCTTTTTATCAGAAAACACTGTCAAAACATCCAAACATATACAATCCACACTGATCCGTGTCCCCACTTGTAATACAAATTAATAAAATCGATATAGGGGGTCTCATTGAAGGGGTCTAATCCCGGATCCCGCTTACTGTTTTGTCAGATTCCCGTATCCCGCTTATCATTTTTTAAGTTTCCCGTTTTCCGCTTATAATTTTTTTTTCTATAAGAAGTCGCCTTGCAAGAGCCCTCCTATCGGTATATCACACTTGTATTACCATTGGCAAGATATCAGGGAACCTATAAAGGGCTTACTGGTGTCACAAATTTAGGAATGATACAAAAAGTTTGTCAGTGACTCGCCAAAGGTGGGTAGTACTCTGGGCGCCAAGACTGAGAAGCGTAACTACATGTCCAATAAACTGTGGGTAAAAATTGCGGCGTGGGATCTGGGGCCGCTGAATGCACCCAGCAGGTCTAGGGTAGATTTGAGAGTACTCGAAGTTGCTGAAAGCTAGTTAATTGATTGATTGATTGATTGATTGATTAATTGCTAAAAATGGCAAATAGTTCATGATTGTTCAGGACAAAAACAAATTTACAATAAATATAACAGGTAGCTAGGTCCTGATTGTCGAGGATGAAGGTCTGGAATTTTAGAAATGCAATGCATAGAAAATGTGGTTTTCTTGGATAGGAACATAGATTTTGCCTTTCAGTAGACCACCTACGAACCCCTCAAAGAGTTGTTGCAAGTTGCTTAACGTGTAGAGAGCGTGGAATTCTCTATACACTAGCGGCATCGGATTTTTAACGTCCCCATTCTGACCAGACATGACTGCGTAATTATACAATTACGCACAACCAAACGAACGCCTAACTTGGGCAAGGATTTTATTGTAGGTCGGATAAGGACCAATTTTAAAGTGGAAAGCCTGCATGGGTAGTTGAAAGTCAACAACAATTAATAGAAAATAAATCATGTATACAAAAAAAGGCAGGCTGAGAGTTTTGAGAATGATGAGGCTAATTCAAGTATTTGTTGATAGAAATGAAATGATCTAAACCAAAGATCTAGTTTTTAGTTTATATAAGGTGGAATATATTGACATTCTAACCAATACTCAATTCACTAAGGATGATAGACTAGTGTACAAATGACATTTGATAATTAAAGAGTTTTACCGAGTTCACATGTATCTACAGATAACGTTGCTTTTATTTTTTGTATATAAAAAAAATATTTGTGAAAACAATATGTGTACGTGCCTAAAGTGCCTAAAGTGCCTAACGGCAACTACGCCCATGACCGTCATAAGATTATATTGAGAAAAAACGGAATACATTTGATATTATAAACAAACAAAAATTACTTATATTCCCATCACACTATAGCTAGGACCACGATCCCACTACGATCTCAGAAATTATAAAATTTTGAAAGTCATAGTAAGATCGTGGTAAGGTCGTAATAAGGACATGCCAAGTCTACATGATCGTGGAGCTTTGAATATACTCAAAACATTCGTTCGTAGTGTAGTCATGGCCAAAACGTGTTAAGTAGAACAGTATGAACTCAGTCGTATAGTAAGGACGTAGTTAGATCGGGATGGGCGTAGAAGCATCGTATTGGAAACGTGGTGCAATCGGGGTAGCCAATGGAAAATATTTCGCTGCAAACTTAGGTAGGCCTATAAGATTTCACTATACGTCTTAATTACGCTTCTACAATATTGATTCGATAATTCTACGATGAGGAAGACAATAATGCGCTGCTACTTTGCCCTTGTCGTCCTCGTCCACATCACTACGATTCTACTACGTCCTAGCCACGAGAATTGTGTTATATTTCCTAATTTGCAAATTGGAAATTTCAAAATTGCATACCTTTTTGAGACCTCTGCTTTTTATTTAGCACCCCGATCTCTAAGTGTTTTTAATACCTTTAGTGGAAAGTTATCTCCAGGAAACTGATGTGTACAATGGGAAAGTCAAGATATTTATAGGGACGAAGAGCGTAGTGACAACGATGTGGAGTCGTTTTTCGATCGTAGTAGACACGTATTGAAATCGTAATGCGATCGGGAAGGTTTTGGAAGAAGCGTTCAGAGATCGTGTTAGCCGTGGTCAGGTCTTATTAAACGCAGCAAGAGTGTGACAAGATAGTAACTATAGAACGTGTTACTGTCATAGCGAAATCGTAGCAGGATCTTATCAGGATATAGCAAGATCGCAGTATCAACGTGAAAACTATGAAATAAACTAATGAATATTCAAGACAACCATTCCACGATCTCGCTGCAATCTTATCTATTTTAGTTAGTAAATCACTCAAGTATGAGGTCAACTCCTTATTCATGGTCTTGGTCTAGTGTGATGGGGCTTTACATCCGCTTCATTTGAACTTTGGTGGACGTCTATCTCATTGGCAGCCAATCCACATCCTTTTTTTCATTTTTTGACAACAAATTTTGATTCATGCTTAATAAAATGATGATTTTCCCGGATTCCCGGCTCATTATCTGGTAATTTCACGTGTCCCGCCCGACTTAATTCCCCTTTTCTACGGACAATTATATGACTTTCACGTGTCACGCTTACAAAAATCGGCCAATCCCGCGTCACGCTTAGATCCCAATGAGACCCACGATATAGTCTGGGATTTTGGTCCCATTTTACTTCAGAGACCAATTAACTTTCTGGTCTAAAAAAGCTATTGAAATTTGCATGTTTTCATTGAATTGGATGGAAAATTAAGAGTTAGGTGAAGGTTGGCGCCTGTTAAAACGTTTTACTCCACTGCATTTTTATACACCTGTCCTAAGTCAGGAGCCTGTTGTTCAGTGGTTGTCGTTTGTTGGTGTCCTTCATAAGTGTTTCTCGTTTCTCGTTTTTTATATAGACTAGACCGTTGGTTTTCCTGTTTGAATTGTTTTACACTAGACATTTTGGGGCCCTATATAGCTTGCTGTTCAGTGTGAGCCAAGGCTCCGTGTTGAACACCGTACTTTGACCAATAATTGTTAACTTTTTATACATTGTGACTTGGATGGAGAGTTGTCTCATTGGCACTCATACCAAATCCTCTTATTTATAATTATTGTCCCTTCATAAAAATAATGCTGATATGTAAATTTTAAAACAAAAATACCTATCCCAGATATAGTAATTTTGAAAGCTACATTGTGATAATGGCCATTAAATCCTAATTTGAAAATAAAACTGGAAAATGCGGCCATAAAATCCTAATTTGAAAATTAGGCTTGAAAAGGCAGCCATATTGGGGCCTTATCAAACATTATCCTTTAGTTGTTGGTTTAGTGCACCTAACGATTGGATAAAAAAACTTCATAAAGTGTGTGATAAATACAAAATCAAAAAAGTTTTAAGACATCCTATCATTAATGATATTACTGTGACATCGTAATTGCATGTGCACTGATCATGTAAACTTTAACATATAACTGACTTAGAGAGCAGTAGTTGTTGCTTAAGGATGTTCGCTACTCTGTTTCAAAATAACAAGCTTTTTAAAAGACTGTTATAAATTGATAGTATATCCATGAAGGAACTAAATAAACTGTTATCACAGAGATATGTCTTGCCTTTTTGTAATTTTGATAATGCAAATGTTGAAATTAAAATAGCAATATTTTAACATGTAAGTTATGCAAATATTCAAAGTTGATGAACCATGACTGAAGGTACATGGCTAAACAATCTCCATTGAATGAGATGTGCCAATGCTAATACAACTGCATACCAAATACCATTGACTTATTATAATTCGTTCCCTTTAAACAAACCTAAACACAAACATTGGGAGTTTTCATTTTTAGGAAACCTATCCCATTTTGCAATTTTTGCAATAATAAAAACATTGTAAAAATACAAGACTTTACACTATATAGATTTTTCCTTGCAACACTGTTGCTTTGGAACTCTTCTAGTCTCTACTTTCACAATAGGAAATCTTCAATAATAATAAATTGCCAGCAAGAATGATGACATTTGTTTAATGTTATACTTATGTATTAATATTCATATCATTCACAACAAAAATAACAAAAAGCATCAGTCCATGATTGCTGATCAAATAAGTCTCACATTATTATGAGTTCCATGACTGTTGTTATTCTCCTGAATTATAAGAAACCAAAATATTGACATCCCCACGGCATTCATCTTATTATAACCCAAGTTGATTTTGTCACAACTTGACTACCAAAACTTATTTTACATACCAGTACCTTGTGAGAGACCTCAATATCAATAGTTGTCTTTTTCACCAAACAACATATTTTCCATCAAAGATTGGTAAAATTGTGATATATTTATTTTAAAAGACATTGTCGAGAAATAACAAGAATTAAAAAACATTTTGCAGGAGATGGCTGAAAAACCAGTGAATATCCTTGATTGGCCACATATCTAACACTTGCCTTATTCTTATATATACGAAGTTGTACATAAATTTTAACGTTGCATAATTAACATATATATATATACTGGCACTGTAATCATGATTTTCACATCGTCAAAGTTTTTACAAATTATGTTTATCACAACATGAACACAAATATTTTTGCTTGACAGCTTTACATGTTACATTATAATGATGAATTCATTTTATTAGCAAAATCATATATTGGAGGTAACTATTCTTTGTATTTTCAAATACTACTTGGGGGTGTTTAACAACCTTGACTTCCTCTGAGGGTCTCACACAGTTGATAACTATTCATTCATTCAAGAATTCATGGACATTTTTTACTTATAAAAGTACACTGTTAAGTCTTGACTTTAAATCATTTAAGATTCGAATATAGGGAAAGAAGCCAGGAACTTCAATTTTTGGAAATAGCATCCCCTGTTTACCATTTGGGGTGAATAAGTCTTTTTGAAGGGATGACAAATTGTTTGTCTAATTTTCAGTCATATAACGTTATAAAGGGACATAACTCAAGAACGGTAAAAGTGACACCACCCGAATTGGAATTTGATCTCAGTTTTTGTGATAATAAGCATTGTGTATAAGTTTCATAACATTTGGTTGAGGCAAACTTAAGTTTGAGAATGGGAAAAAAAAATTCAGCAATTTTTCCATTTGTAAATGGAACTACTCTACAACGGTAAAAGTAACGCCACCACAAATTCAAACTTGATCTGTATTTTGTGGTAATAAGCATTGTGTATAACATTTGGTTGAGGCTAACTAAGGTTAGAGAACAGAAACCAATTTGGGGTTGTACTCCATACATACATACGGACATACAGACAGACAAGGGTAACACTTTCATGGCTCCTTTCCCTATAATCTTAAGAACCTGTTAAGATAGAAAATCAATGGTTGCTGGAGCTAGAATTTTAAAACTGAACTAGTCAATTGTATATTATATCAGAACACTCCTTTTCACTTAAAATAGCCCATCAAAATGTTAATATAAGATGTTCTATCGTCTGCCTCGTTTACTTGGAGGTTTTTCTGATGGCGGTGATGACCTTCCTCTTCTGGTTCCCATCTGTTGAAATGGTGACCCAAATTTGATATTTCTAAGTTTATTTGTCATTGGAACTTTTGGTGAATTTACTGCTGGTTTCTTTCTCAAATCATGTGGGGAAATAGCAGTTTGCCCTCTTGTCATTGGCCGATGAGGTGATGGTGATCTACGATGATATGGGGGTGAAGGCGATCTGCCTCTGGTGACAGGTCGATGTGGAGGTGATCCTCTATAAAATGGTGGTGATGGTGAATGACCTCCTCTTGATAAGGGGGGTGAAGGTGTCCTCCTCATTCCTGTTCTATATGGTGATGGAGATCTACCTCTAAGATATGGTCTCCCAGGAGATGGTGACCTCTGACCTCTAGGTATGTAGGGAGGTGGTGATGGCGTTAATCTACCACCAATGTAAGGTGGAGATGGTGATCTATGACCTCTGACTCTTGGCGGGGACATTGATGGTTCTCTCCCCCATGGTTCAGGAGCCATCATGTGTTCTGAAGGTGATAATGATCTTCTTAGATACTCTGGTGGAGGAGACTGAGGTCGCCTTCCTATGGCGAACTGAGATCTTCTTGGCGGAGAATCTTCTAATAATTGAGATGATGACCTTCGTCCCCTTGTTCCAGGATAATATGGAGGTGATTCTGATCTAGCATCCCACATTCCAGGAGAGACTTCTCTCAATGGAGACTGAGGAGAAGGAGATCTCCCAGGTTCTGGAAAATAATATCGTTTAGTAGGTGACCCTTGTGGTGACCATGAACCTGAGTTTGCTCCTTCAGGAAACTGCCAGGAATTCTGTCTTTGCCATGTACCTCCTCTAGTCATGGTTCCTCCTCTTCCTCTTACCTTGAATCGTCTGAAAGATATATAAAACTTACTTTATTTCGATTTCAGCATATCATAAGGAAAGTAACACTTATAATTTACACCCCCTTTATTTACATTTATAAATATATGAAAAGAACAATGTACCTCGATGAAATGTTATACAACTTTATATGAAGAACAGATGATCAGTATTTGCAGAGAAAATGCAATGAATATTTAATGTGCCCCACCCTTTCAGGAATAAAAGTATTCTATTAAATTAAAGTAGATAAATACAATGTATGACAATGTGCTCACGTAATTATTAAATTCCACTGAACAAGACTTAAACCTCTCAGCTTATACTTGTATTTTGTCAATTATGATTCTAATTCTAGCAGCAGGGTTTTCAAATTTGAATGTTTGCTTTTTACAGGTTGAACTTTCAGACCAAAACACAGATTGCAAATCAGATTTTGTTCTACAATTTCACTCTACGTTATGGTGCATTGATATGCAACAAGATTTAGGAAAAAACACATTTGTTTAAGCCTGATAATGCCTGTTTTTCTGTGAAAGGATAGCCATCTTTTTTGCCAATGGCAGCAAATAAGTACTGTTGTTAAATAAAATAAATGGAGAATGTGTCCATGGGACACAGATGATGCGCCCGCTTGCATTTAACGTTATAAAGGGACATAACCCAAGAACTGTAAAAGTGACGCTACCCAAATTTGTACTTGATCTGAATTTTTGTGGTAATAAGTATTGTGTATAAGTTTCATAACATTTGGTTGAGGCAAACTGATGTTAGAGAACGGAAACGAAAAATTCAGCAATTTTTCCATTTGTAAAGGGGCATAACTCTAGAACGGTAAAAGTAACGCCACCACAAATTCAAACTTGACCTGTGTTTTGTGTTAATAAGCATTGTGTATAAGTTTCATAACATTTGGTTCAGGCAAACTAAAGTTAGAAAATGGAAACCAATTTTGGGACGGACGGACGTACAGACAGACAAGGGTAAAACTTAATGCCCCCTCCGCAACGGCAGGGGCATAAAAAAAGGTTTTTTCATAAATATTGTAAAAATAAACTGAAAAGTAGTTAATCATTCGTTTTTATTTTGTTCAATTTTTTAACATCTTGACATAATAAAATTAATTGATGTGATGATAAATCATCACAATCACATATTTCATCATATTCTATTACCATCTTATAAAACATTTAAATTTGGAAAAGGAAAATTGCAAGAATGGATAAACAAGAGTTTTATTGCGAAAGAAATGATACTTTTCCACAGAATCACTTGAAGGTTATCTGTCTATTTAAACTTATGTAATTTCATTTAATAAATACAATAGCTATTGTTCTCTGTAGAGTTTATTCAATGGGACCTATAAATTTCTTCTCATTGATTAATTTACCTGAACAAAAAATTTAACTTTCAATGATGAAAATACCTGTACCAATACTAAATAAGGACACACAAAACTGCATGTGATGTTGTATTTTTTCAATATCAACAATACATTTTCAATTTGTTCAATATAAACACTGATACAAATATTAAAAGTTGATTTCTGACAAAATTTTCAATATTGTACCCATTGAATTTTTTTCATTTTTTTTCTGTGTGTTTGACAAATAAAAACTGGAAAATGATGTTTAAATTAAGGCCTTCTTAAATGTATTCTATAACTGAACAACCACAAAAAAAATGCAAATTCAATTGGAACAATGCTAAAAAATTTGTCAGAAATAAACTTTTCATAATTTAACCATTGTTTATATTGAACAGATTGAAAACATATTGTTGATATTGAATAAATACAACATCACATGCAGTTATGTGAGTTTATACATCTATTTGAATCAACTAAGAAGATATTTTTTTTGGTGAGGTTAATTAATAAATGAATGATACATTTCTCTTAGAAGAAATTTAAAGGTCCCACCGTCCTAGTGAATAAACTACACAGTGAACAATAGCTATTGTATTTATTCAATGGGACAAGTGAACTGACAAAAGTTTAAATACCTTGACCAAGTGGAGATGACTCTGTGGAAAACTTTCATTTGGTTCGCAATACAATAAAAATATAAGATCAACATGGTCAAATCTTATTATTGATATAAATAAATTACTTGCCTGTCATATTTGGTCATTTTTGTAGGCTTGGCTATGCTGGGAACATCCATGCTGCAATAAAAAGAAACCTTATAATCATAACTACTATAAACAACAATATTAATATTTCACTTTTGACACAAAACAATCATCTGCTTCTGATAAAAAGCTGAAAAACTCCTACAAATGCATCCCAAGATACATTACCGTAGGTCATGTAGTAAAATACAACTGGAAATCATTTAGAAAAATGTAACGTTGAGTGTATATGCATGTACATCAATCAAAGGATATGCAATCAAAATGGAAAGTAGCAGTTGGAAGCAACTGCCTACACTTGAGCAGTTTTTTACCAAAGATATTTTGATATTCTCAGTATGTTAAATAACTATGGTGATCTCTATGACTTTTTGTTGAATGTAAATTTCTTTCCTTAATATGTCCACTGACAAATTACACTAAAGGTCAATTGGATAATAATTTCCAACAGTCGACCATGGGAGTGGTCATTGAGTAGTCAAAGCTTCTAAATGGTACCCTGTGGCCACCCTTATAATGAGTTGACAAGCCATTTCTTTTCTCATATAAAAATTGAACTAACAATACCTTGGAAATCAAGAAAATCAATTTTCAATTTGAAGGGGCAGGTGCAAGTTGCCTATGGTGGACAAAATGTGAAAAAGACATTGGCTAACAGAGTGAACTTTGTAGTTTCAATGAATATATAGCTGTATTATTACATTTTGTACCTAGGCCAATTTTAAGAATTTACCAATAATATCAAAATCATCAAACCAGTAAAGGCTTTGATGCCTTGAGAACAATAATGGAAAAACCCAAGATGGCAGGCACCCATGGGAACTCTTTTGTCAAAGGCATAATATCAGTTTTCAATATCTTTTTTTTTTTCTTTTTACCCAGATGCATGTTGCTGAATAAGCTGTCTTTTTTAGCATAGGTTATGTCTACCCAGATGCATGTTGCTGAATAAGCTGTCTTTGTTTGCAAAGGTTATGTCATCTATTTCTAATAAATTCACAGTTTTTGTTTTTGAAATTCCCTTTTAAATCAGTCTATGATCCCATTTTGCTACTGTAAAATTAGATATATATTTCACAGAATTAGAGACAAGACTCCAACAGCATTAATAAAATGCTCCACAGGACGCAGCTTGATACAAACGCAGAGTTCAAAACCTGAACAGTTGGGGCAAGTATGGACATAACATTCAAGCTGGATACAGCTCTAAATTTGAATTGCAATTAAATACTTGACATACTAGTAGTGTAGGTTTCTGACACCAAATGAATGTGGTCTAAGAACTTAAAATTTGTGAAATTAGACATTTACCTATTACGGTCCAATATCCAAAATCTAAATACATGGTTAGATTCAAGGAACCTTAGAATCCTGGATTCTGTTTGATGAAATCAAACAAAGTTTAATTTTGGACCCTTTGGACCTCAATTTGGATCAATTTCATAACATGGCCCAAATTCCAAAATCTAAATACACAGTTAGACATGTTAGATTCAGCATATCAAAGAACCCCATGTAATTCAATTTTTGTTGAAATCAAACTAAGTTTAATTTTTACTCTCTTTGGACCTTAATGTGGACCAATTTGAAAATGGGACCCACAATTAAAAATCTAAATACATGGTTAGTTTCGGCATATCATAAAACCCCAAGAATTCAATTTTTGATAAAATCAAACAAAGTATAATTTTGGACCCTTTGTACCTCAATGTGGACCAATTTAAAAAAAAGGGTCCAAAATCCAAAATCTAAGTTCATGGTTAGACTCAGCATATTAAAGAACCCCAAGAATTCAAGACTTTGAATTAAACCCTATTGAAATTGGTCAAGAAATAAGCAATTTATACAAAGTATTAGAAAAGTATTGTTTTTCGCCCCTTTTTCTTAAATGGTTAGGGCCATAACCCCCAAAATCAATCCCAATCTTCTTGTTTTGGTATGGAACCTTGAGGTACAATTTCATTGAGATTCATAGATTTATACTCAAGTTATTGTCCAGACACCAGAAAATCCTTGTTTTTCTATCCCTTTTTGGCCCTTAATTCCTAAACAGTTTGGGCCATAACCACCAAAATCATTCCCAACCTTCCTTTTGAGGTATGGAACCTAGTGGTACAAATTCATAGAGATCCATACACTTATATACAAGTTATTGTCCAGAAACCAAAAAAAAGGCTTGACTTCGGCTCTAGTTCCTTAACAGTTAGGACAATAACCCCCAAAATCAATCCTTATCTTCCTTTTGTGGGGTGGAACCTTGTGGTACAATTTCATAGAGATCCATACACTTATTCACAAGTGTCTGGAGACCAAATGTCTTGGGACAACGACAACATTGAGGATGAGAATGCCATACCATTATACGACTGCAGAAATTTTGTGGTTGTATAAAAAGAATAAAAGCATAAACTGCTCAATGTATCATTTGAGATTTATTGGAAATGATAAATTCAGTTTTAACAGTACATACTGCCTTTGAAAATATATATATTTTTGAGACTAAACATTAAAGAATTTTCAGTGTGAATATTTGTGTTATGCTTTTAAAAATATATAGCCTTAAGCATTGGCATTCAACAGCTTTCAGTTTAAATATTTACAAACACAAAACCAGGTTCAACCCACCATTTTTTCTTAAAATGTCCTGTACCAAGTCAGGAATATGGCAGTTGTTATTTAATATTTCGTTTCTATGAAAGTTGCATTGTTGTTTGTTTTTGGTTGCACTTCTGTGTTCTGTTATTTCGTTGTTTTCCTCTTATAGTTGATGTGTTTCCCTCGGTTTTAGTTTGTAACCCGGATTTGTTTTCTCTCAATAGATTTATGACTTTTGAACAGCGGTATACTACTGTTGCCTTTATTTATATATCCATGGCCAACACAGCAAGGGGAGGGGATTTTGAATATAATAGTTTGTACATCCAACTGTTTAAACGTCTTTTAGAAATATTAATGGAAGAAAATTAACGAACATGTCAAAAATACACGCAGATGCAGCATTTAATTTAAAAAGTTTTCTCTACAAAATTGACACTAAGTAAAGGCAAATGCTCACACAGGTCCTTGGGCCATATGACCTATAAAGGAAATGTTTGAATAATTTTTTTTGGTCTGATGGCACCAATTCTAGATACAGACAATGTCATCTTGTTGAGTTGTTCAGTGCAGGAATAGCCATTTTTATTTTACTTACATTTTTAAATAAGTAATGTTGCTAAATATAAAAAATGAACCAAACAAATAAGCAAACTATAACAAAAAATAAAAATACAAGATTGTCGTATTAAATTCATTCAGTTAAATTGAAAAGTTTAAAACTGGCAATTTCTAATTTCACCAATCAGTTTCTTTTTTTTGTCAATTTTTTTTTAACATGATAAGACAATAAATCTTTACAATTATACATATTTCATCATATTTCATTATCATTTAACAAAACATTTAACTATGCAAAAGGAAAACTATGTTTGCATAAACAGGATTATTGTATTAAAACAACATGGTCTATTCTTATTATCAATATAAATAAATTACATGCCTTTCATATTTGGTCATTTTTGGAGCCTTGGGTATGCTGGCAATTTCCATACTACAATAAAAAATCTTATGAGCAAAAATGCTACCAGCAAACATACAGATGTCACCTTTGACACATAATTATCTGATAAAAAGCTGACAAACTCCCTCGGCTGCATCCCATGTTATATTACTATAGGTGGTGTGATGAAATAGAACTGTAAATCTTGATGTAAAACACAATTCTTATTGTGAATGCAGATATGTACATTATTCAAAGAACATTCCAAGAAAATAAAAAGAAAGAAATGCAGCACTTAAAAGCAACTGCTGAAAAATTACTAAAACTTTATATATTATTTATTTTTAACAATTTTCCTTTAAATTCAAAACATTATGGTACTTGGCTTGAACAGAAACTGATAAATTGTAAACATGTTGTGCTCTAATTGAAGTATGCTTTGGCAGATTTCTTTCTAACTTTTTGTGACCATTAGGCATAGCAGTGTGATCATTTTTCCTTTTAAAGTTTTTGTCTATCTATAATTTTTTCGAAATAATAGGGAAAACAATTTAAAAATGGTAAAATTTGTCATTTAAGGGCGATAACTCCTATAAGAAGTCGTCTGACAGTTTTGACATTAATGAACAATAGTAAGAGCTCAACATTTTGAACAGTTTTGCTCCCCCACCAAAAGTTTCTCTAATATAGAGGTTTTCAAAATAGCAAGCATTTTATCACTATGTTCTATTTTTAGCCATGTCGGCCATCTTAGTTGGCAGCTGTAGTCATTGGACACATTTTTTAAACAAGATACCCCAATGATGATTGTGGTCACGTTTGATTTAATTTGGCCCAATGGTTTCAGTGGAGAAGATTTTTGTAAAAGTTAAAGGATGACAGACGACGAACGCCAAGTGATGAGAAAAGCTTTTGGCTAGGTGAGCTAAAAAACAATAACCAATTTACAATATATACCTTGAAGCAGCTCTTTTCTCAGCTTCACCAAAGCTCACTCTGTATAGATTTTTTTCTATCATCCTCTCAGCTTCTCCAAAATCAATCATTTCAATTGGCATCTTTCCCTTCCTGCGTTTCCTTCTACCAAACTCATCAACAGAGGACCCTGATGACCTTGACCTTGATCTAGATTTAGATTTTTCTGAGCTTGATGATGAACTTGACCCTGACCTTGAGTATGATGAACCTCTGCTATGTACTGACGTCAAAGAGGATGACGATATTGGACTAGGTTGGCAGTCTGATTCCACTGACCTGGATCTTGACCTACTTGAATGTCTAGATGATCTTGAAGTGTCTGATTTTCTACTGGTCTGTCTTTTTCTTCTAGATGGTTGCTGGCTTTCATCTTTTTCAAATGCAGCCCCTGGTGAAGAATTTCTTCGCCTACTTCCTCTGATATTTGGTCGTGGCTTGTATAGATCTGATGTGTCATAACGTTGAGATTTCTTAGGTTCTCTTTCTGTCCTTTAAACAAAAGCAAATTGTTTGTGTCAATTTTAAAAAACAATAATAAAATTTATCATCTCTATATTCAACATTTTTGCGAGATGTGACTTACTACGCAATTGTTCAAATTTTATTGCAGCATCCTATATGCTGTATGGAAATATATCAGTGTTTTGATTTTTTTATTTCATGTGTAGCCTTGTGCAAAGCCTTCTCATGTACATCTATTCTTTTTATTTCATGTGTAGCTTTGAGCAAAACCTTCTCATGTACATCTATTCTTTTTTATTTCATGTGTAGCTTTGAGCAAAACCTTCTCATGTACATCTATTCTTTTTTATTTCATGTGTAGCTTTGTTCAACTCCTTCTCATATACATCTAGTCTTTTTTATTTCATGTGTAGCTTTGTGCAACTCATTCTCATGTACATCTATTCTTCTTTATTTCACGTGTAGCTTTGTTCAACTCATTCTCATATACATCTATTCTTTTTTATTTCATGTGTAGCTTTGTGCAACTCAATCTCTTGTACATCTATTCTTTTTTATTTCATGTGTAGCTTTGTTCAATTCCTTCTCATATACATTTATTCTTTTTTATTTCATGTGTTGCTTTCTTCAACTCATTCTCATGTACATCTATTCTTTTTTATTTCATGTGTAGCTTTGTGCAACTCCTTCTCATGTACATCTATTCTATCAGCTTCAAAAAGTCAGATATACCAATAGTAATATATTCATAAAAATGTTTATTTTTTTATTTCTTTGAAAAAGTTTTCAGCAGTTTTTTAATTTAATTCTTTTTTGATGTAGAAAATACAGAAAGGTATTTTGTCAGTTTTATCAGTATAAAAGGTGTTTTGTTTAATATCAGTAAAATCCTGATCCTTAAAAAAATACAACAGACAAGTAAAAAAAACAAAAATTCAAATAAGTGTTGCTTAAGTTTACCATTGGCTTTGATACTGGTATCTGGATGAATTTTGATCAGCATACTTTTCACTGGTTTGCCTTTTTCTCTTTGTCCCTTTAGGAACTTCAGTAAAGGACTCGTCAGATACATCACTAAGTGGACTAGTGGCTCTAAGTGCACTCTCAGAACTGTCAATACTTTTTCCTTGTGTACTGGATGCAGAATTATCCTCTATGTGTGCACTTGATGAATCTTCATCTATTGTTACAACTTCGGTAAAGGGTTCATCTTGAGTTGGTGTAGGAGGTGTAGATGGCATGTCTTCCATGAAAACTGAAACACAAATAAACCAAAATCATGTAAGAGAAGTAACTTCTGTGAATTCATTTATTTTTCGTGGGTACCAATTTTCATGGATTGACCCTTTGGGTCAAGTGAGCTAAAAAGGACCTAGAAACTAATTAAAACTGACAAAAATAACTAACTATCGTAATAGAATTTTGAGTTGATCATTTACACCCACACACCATAAACCATCATGCACCTTCAGTATCAAATCTAAAATTAATTTTGATTTTGACATCCTCACCTTCAACTTTTAATTGCCTTCCATCCTCTAGAATAACCTCTCCTTCCATTGTTTCACAGACTTCCTGTGTGTGGTATTCTGGATGATTTTGTGACTCATCCACTATATATTCAATGTGATCTGTGACAATTGTTTCTTCAATAGTTGGCTCTTCAATGACAACCTCAGAATAGCTTTGACTGGAAAATGGTTGCTTTTTCTCGTTGAAAATTGATGTAAATTCATCTGAGGTGTACCTGCATGTTTATATTAAAGCATAAATGTTAAACTTTACAAATATAAAACATCGTAGGATCACGGTCTCTATTGAATTGTTACTACTGATAGGATTTTAAAAAAATTTTAAATGCCCAAAAAAATTGTGACAAGTCTTCAACAGGTATTAACAAAAACCGTTTTCTCTAATCAAGCAATTAAATGGTTTTGGTTTTGACAAGTGAGAAAATTTTGATAAACCACATATTTTAAATATTGAATAAAGGTTTTTGGTTGTGATTTTGGATGCTTGTTCTAATCAAAATTGAAAAACAAATTTTACTTCTTCACCCAAATATCAATTTTTGCTCTATCATGTTGACAAATGAATCCTTTTATTTTCAAATACCAGTGGTTGAAAAGATAATTCTTTCTTTTTTAACAAAAGTCAAGGATTGACATGATGAAATGCTTATACAAATATTTTGTTGTAAAAATTAAATTTTTTGGTCTGTATAACAATGTTTGAAAATCTGGTAATAAGAAGATAATGTTTAGATACCTGCTGAAAATGTAAAGATCCATTGGACTTTTTGATCACTCTTTCTAAATTGTCCATCAGAAAATCAATAAGGGAAGAATCAATGATCAAATGACTTGCACTATTTTTAATACAACATATATTCTTTAAAAAATAAATGTGTATTCAGAGGAAAATAAAAAATATTTCTATTTTTGTTTACCTTCTATTTCTTGTCCTCTGCCTCCGTAACGCTGCTTTCTTCTCCATAACTTTCTGTTTAGTAAGTTCCATTTTAAGCTCAGCTTTTGTTTTTCTTTTTTTCTTTTCAGGAGAACTTGGAACTTTCTCGGGACTTGATTCCTCCAGACTGTCTGTCCTTTCTATCCTCTCACTAGAATCTGTTTGACCTGTAGTAGATATGCTCAATGAAATCAACTTTCTTAAATTTGCATTCATGTTATTCTCAGCAGTCATGATCAGTTCATTTTGTTTGAAGAGGTTTAAACATTGCATATTTCTAGAATTTAATTGTAGTCAGTTTCATTAGTGCATAAAACTGTAAACCCAGTGGTCAACCAGTGACAAAATGTGAGTAACTAACAAATTCTAATCAATTTTTCTGGTGGAGGGAACTGCAAAGCCTGCAGCAAACTATTGAGGTACAGTGAGTAACTGACAAATTCTGAATAATTTCATCAGTGGAGGAAACTGTAAAGTCAGAGGTAAACCAGTGACATTAAGGTGGCTGTGGCGTCTTAAATAAAATTGATAGAATTTTTTGATAATTTGTCAAAATGAAGTTTTTATCATGCTTTTTTCCAAAATATAATAAAAAGTATGGGTCACCAAACTTTTTTTCACGCTAGAGGTTGTGCAAAATTGTCAGATTTTGAATAGATTATGCATGGAAAATCAAATTTTGTGTGATAAAAAGAAAACTACTTGATAAAACTTTAAGATAAAATGTGAGAAGATAGCTCTTATAAAATGGTTTCAGATAAGAAAAAGAAAAAATGGGCTCACCGAACTTGTTTTCTTGCTACATAGGTAAATTCACAACACTTTCTATTATAAAAATTACTTTATCTGAGTTATCTCCCCTTATTTGGCAAAGTTTAAAAAAATCTAATCAAACACAAATGAGGTGTTTTTGAGAAATTACAGTCGTAATTATGATAAAACACACAATTTTCTATATTTACATCAAAAGTCTTTTACATAAATTACATACTACTCTCAAAATTTGCACATTTCATGAAATATCTAGACCAACATTATCTGCTACTTCGAAATCCAAGATGGAGGAAGACACCCGAGCCACCATAAGTGAGTAACTGACAATTCTAATCAGTTTCATTGGTGGAGGAAACTGTAAAGCCTGCAGTAAAACTATAGACACACAGTGAGAAACTGGCAAACTCGGAATAATATCATTGGATAGAAGTAAACTATTGCAAACAGCAAGTCTATGTAACTGACCAACAGGTCAATGTCATTCTGAGGAAAACCAGTGATTAACTGTGAGTAACTGACAAACTCTTATCAGGTTCATTGAAAAATATAGGAAAATATTAAGCAGTAGATTAAGCAGTGACTTACAGTGAGTAGATGATAACTTATGGTTAGTTTCATTGGTGAAGATACCCATAGAGTACAAGGAAAACCTGTGACTTACCATGAGTAACTGTTAACTGATGGTCAGTTTCATTGGTGAAGATACCCACAAAGCACAAAGCAACCTTGTGACTTACAGTGAGTAACTGATAACTTATGGTTAGTTTCATTGGTGAAGATACCCATAGAGCACAAGGAAAACCTGTGACATACAGTAACTGTTAACTGATGGTCAGTTTCATTGGTGAAGATACCCACAAAGCACAAAGTGACCTTGTGACTTACAGTGAGTAACTGATAACTTATGGTCAGTTTCATTGGTGAAGATACCCATAGAGCACAAGGCTAACCTTTGACTTACAGTGAGTAACTGAAAACGTATGGTCAATTTCATTGGTGGAGATACCCATAGAGAACAAGGAAAACCTGTGACTTACAGTGAATAACTGACAACTTATGGTCAGTTTAGTTGGTGAAGATACCAATAGAGCACAAGGTAAACCATGACATTCACTAAGTACCTTTTACCAGAAAAAGAACTCAACTTGAAAATTAATCAAATGGAAAACATTTTCCGATGCCAATTACAAATGTATTATAGATGTGTGTGATGCCAATTACAAATGTATTATAGATGTGTGTGATGCCAATTACAAATGTATTATAGATGTGTGTGATGCCAATTACAAATGTATTATAGATGTGTGTGATAAGACTGATACTTAAGTAAAGTGGTAGTACTATTATATAAGACTTAACAAACATGATTTGATATGAAATCATTATCAATAATGTAAGTTTATCATGTTTATTCTGTATGTGCTTGTCCCAAGTCAGGTGCCTGTAATTCAGCGGTTGTTGTTTGTTGGTTCATTTCATATTTGTTTTTCATTTATTGTTTTGTATATAAATCAGACCATTAGTTTTCTCAATTGAATTGTTTTACATTTGTTATTTCGGGGCCTTTTATATCTTGCTATCAGGTATGGGTTTTGCTCATTGCTGAAGGTCATACGGTGACCTATAGTTGCTTACTTTTTAAGTCATTTGGTCTCTGATGGAGTGTTGCCTCATTAGCAACCATATCACAGCTTCTTTATATCACCAGGTTCACCAACATGCTTTTCCATGAATAGTCACATGAATATAGGTCAATTTGAGAGCTACTGCTCCATTGATTCTCTACATAATAACATTGACAATTTGATAATCTGATATACCTTTATCTGTGCTTTCATCAGCTTTTTGTTCTTTACTTTTCTTCCTCTCTTCTCTAATTCTGGCCTTTTCCTCTTCCCTTTCCCTTCTCTTGGCTTCAAGTTCAGCTCTCCTTTGTGCTCTTTTCAAGTACCGTTCCTCTTTTTCTTTAGCCTGGAGCAAATAACAAGACAATTATTTAATACCATAAATATCCTCATACAACACATTAATTTTACAAAATGCTTTTATCTTCTAAAAAATTTAACAGTTCATGTATGTTTTTTCTTTTTGGTTTTAAATTTTCAATGAATAATCAAATATCAACTCAATTCAATTTAATTTAAAAATAAAAAAATAAAAAATAATAAAAAAAAAAATTGAATATCAACTGTTGAAGAATATTTTTTTCAGTCCAGAATGAGCAAACCAAAAACAGAAAAAAAAGTTATGAATATACATGATATATTGATATTTGTATAAAAAAAACCCAAAGGTTGGTATCTATCTTGTTTCACTTTCCAGTGACACACTAAAAACCAGTCACCATTTTTTATATGTATTTTTCAGTCTATGTTCTAGTACCAATAATGCATTGTTTACTTCTCCAAAGTTAATGCAAACTTTACCAGGTATTGCTTTTCATTTTGCTTTGTGATTTTTCTATTGCTGATAATTTTTACTAATTTGTTTATCTGTTGTTGGTGTAATATAAGTTTTCAGATCTTTACTATTAAACATATTTACAACTTTTCAAAGATAATATTTGATTTTGAGCTTATTGTATGGTGCAAGTTTCTGCATATTTTCAAAGCTCTTATGGTAATGTTGCAATAAATTAATACATTTAATACAGGTCATTTAGTTAAATATCACTCTTGGTGATGAGTTTTTAATAGTGAATGCTGGTGAATCGCTCTGAGATATATCTCTGTATATTCAATAATAGTGCATGACAGGGTAGTATGTATTATCACCAAGAATATCCTGTTTCACTGTTATTTACTTGACATCAACCAAGGGTTATTTTAACAGAATCATTCTGTGATAACTGCATATTGTTGGGTTGCTTTCTCATTAATATTCCCTCTGTGTCATTTATCATTATATGAACAGTATATACTAACTATTCTTGATTTCCTTGCTTCTCTAGTTTCTTCATCTTCACTATCACTATAGTTGTACTGGAGTGATATTAACTTCTTCTGTTTAGAAGGGGAGACAACTTCCTCAACACCAGTTGCCACATCAGCAGTAGGTGGCAGTGGTATAGATAGTTCAGGAGATTCCTGTTCAATAACTGTACTGGTAACTGGATAAACCTCTGCATCTGTGGTAGTAGTGGGAGGTACCTCTTTATCTGTACTGGTACTTGGTTTCAACTCTACATCTGGAACCTCTATGTCTGTGCTAGTATTTGGTAGAATCTCTGTGCTTTCTAAATCTTCAAAATCGTCTTCACTTATTTCAGGTGTTTTATCTCCGACTACAGATAATGGACTTGCCTGTGGTCTCTCTGAAATAATGAAAAGAAAATTGATGTATACTGTTTACAGTGTCAGAATCTACAGTATATATAGGGTGGTAAATCCTAGAGCACAAACAATCACCTTGTATCCCTTACCATCATTAAAAAAGTATTTTTTAACTGAATCGACTCATGTGTATTGTGATATTTTCTGCAAACATATTTATTTTCCCTCCGTTTACCTACATGTAACCTATTTGAAATTTTGGTCTACAGTGTATATTCTAGATCTGTCGTACAGAAAGGAGCTTGTACGCTGAATCATTTAGAGGACAATGCATTTGTGAATGTCATCATCTCGTTATACAAACCAATGTTAATTAGACATTACATGTCCCAAGAGGAAATACATAGCTGTTTACTAGAGTATGTACAAGATGAAGTAGTTAAAATTGATAATAGTTTAAAAGATTTGAATGAGACTTTAAATTCTATTTGTTAAACAGTATTTACTTATATCACTGAAAACAAACTTGCTAATTCTTAGTTTTGATATTTTATTTGTTTTCAATTTAATCTATATGGCACAATAAGGAAAGTACTCCATCACTGAGGCCTGTATTCAGTTATTTTCATGGGTATCAATTTTTGTGGATTGAGGAAAACTTGCATTTTCTTGCTGCATACATTTGTACAAGCCTATAGAAAATTTATAATTCATTGAACATTTAAATTTTTGGTTCACCTGTACCCATGAAATCCAGAAAAATTGGTATCTAATGTATAATAATGAACCCATGGTACCTATGTTAGTACTTAAACTAGTGTTTCGAACTTGCTGTCTGATCGATGTGAAACACACATTATTTTTATTTATATGTAAAAAGAACAATGTACATTTTGTATAATATTTACCTATATATTCATCATCTTCTGATGCCGATTTATCAGAATCAAACATATCATTATCACTCCCACTTCCCAATTCGTCAAACTCAAACGATGATAAATCACTGGTGTGTACAGAACTGATCGTGATATCAGATTTCTGGTCTGCGTCAACAACCTCATCCCAGGCAAATTTATAAGGCCTTTTCGTATCTTGGCTTTCTTCATCATCGTCTTCAATGTCCATTTCATAGCTCTGATTGCTGTCCTCATTTTCAATAACAATACCCATTTTACTTTTCACTTTGCCTGCTGCCCTGGCAATAGGTGGAAGTGGAATATCATATGTTTCACCCTTTTCTTCCTGTTTACCTCCACTAAACAAAGCTTTTGTTACTTTGTCTTTACTTTCCTCTTTTGGTATAACAACAGGTATATCCTCAGTCCCTGGGGGTGGTGGTGTTGGGGGTAGTGGTGGTTGGGATGATTTTGGAGGAGTGGGCGTGTCAACAGCTGTTGTCTGAGTTGTTGATGTTGGAGTACTAGGTACTGGAGGAATTGGGGAAACAGCAAACTGACTCGATGTTACAGTCGTGGTGGTGGCTGTTGAAGACATAGGTGGTGGAAATGGAATTCCTGGCATTCCTGGAATTGGCTGTGGAAACATGAAATTATTCCAATACGGAAACATCTGAGGTGGCATTCCAAAGGGTGGAAATCCACCAAATGGGGGAACCATAGGATAATTTGGCATCATGCCACCAAAGGCAACTTGTGGAGGCATCTGTTGAGTCCAGATAGCTTGTGAATATGGTGAAGAGAAGGTTGGAGCTGCTGCTGATGATTGCTCTCCTTGAAAACTACTGGGAGTACTTGTCTGATTTTGTTCTGAAAATACAATTTGAAACACAAAATTATTTATGTAAACAAAAGAAATGTTTAAACATGAAAGTAGTAAATAGTTCAGTTTTGTTCTTGAATTCAAGTTCACTAAAAGCTTCCAAATGTAGACAAAAGATTATTTGTTAAAATAACGAAAAAAAACCGGAAGACTTTGATATGTTCATCTTCTCGAGCCAAGGGTTACCATCCAGTCTCTTTCTCTCCACCCTTGGCAGATTAAGCCAGCATTTGTGATAACAATGTTGCGCCATCTACCGGTAGATAAAAGTCATGCCCATTCTTTCTACATCACTCCAATGGCAGCACTTGAACTCTCTTTAGTGTGGAGGTGTAAAAATGGTTGCGTCTAGTACTGGAACCGAAAATATACGTTGACATTCCAACATTTGCGCAAGAAACATACCTAAGAACTTCTATTAGTTGATTAAGAACTTTAAAATTGTCACTAAATGTCATCGTATTTTTGGTGGTAAAGACATGTTGCACAATCAGCATGTGGCAATTGGTTATTTACATTTTCTACATTTACACGTGATCATCTTAAAGGCGCTTTTTGATAGGATGCAACCAGTTACAACTGCGACCAATGGAAATCATTACCTTGTGGGTCCGAAATTCTATCTTAATCTGCCAAGGGTGGAGAGGAAGGGACTGGATCGTAACCCTTGGCTAGCGAAGATGTGATATGTTATACAGTTAAATAAAAAAAAAAGTGAATGAAGCACTCAAACATAAAATCAATTATAAATTCCATACTTTCATTTGGACTCACAATGTATTGTCAGACAGTAATTTCTTGTACAGTAAAAAAGTTTATAAAAGATGTGGTGGTTGTTCAAGTTTTACATGGCACCAAATGAATTTGGTTATTTTTACAATTGTTTTCCAAAAATAAATTCAAGAGAAGCTAATTTAAAGTATCCTACAAAATCGTCTAAATGTGTCAAAGAATTCAACAAATTCTACTGTGATTAAATGATAAATTCTCTTTTAAATTGCCTTTTCTACATGTATGCAATTTTTGTTTTTGGTCTATTTTCATCATTTTTTCTCCCCATTTCCCATCTATTTCCCCAAAGTATGACAATTTTTTACCAGCTTGAGACAAATTTATGCTCATTAAACTCTGCAAATTTTCTTTCTGTTGCTGTTTCTGGGCTTCTTGTTGGGCTTTTCTTTCTTTAGAATCAATGCCCAGATGACTACAAACAACTTCATCAATCTTTGGTTTAATCAGCTGAAGTATTTTAGGATTTATGACTTGTTCTATCACTCTTTCTACACCATTAGCCAACATCCCAGATCTATAAAGTGAAAATTTTCTTATACAGTAGATTCTTTTATTTTCATGCATACCAAGTTGCATTTTTTCATTGAGTTAAAGTTGGATTTTATGTGGAAACTTGAATTTGAGGTTAAACGTTAACAATTCAGCATACAAACCTATAGAAACAGATTTGCTGTACACATATTATTTGTGGTTAACCATTACCCATGAAATCAATGAAAATGTGTCCCTCACCATTTATAATGAACATAAAGTCAATGCTTTTCTTTACATAGAGAAAATGACCTATTTGTTTCCTTGCTACATTGTATATGCTCTGTGAATTTTTAGTAGTACACAACTAAAACACAAATCCTGAATCAATTTTTCTCAATCAAGACTTATTAACTTGTGACCACAAAAATACAAGTTTAAGGAACACCTAATGTGATTTTGGAACCAGGGACTGGGCTTGCAATTTTTTATTTCATCTGGCGAAAAAATACGGCTGCTGGCGATATTTCTGGCGCCAACATTTTCCCATGTCAAAATTTTCAATTCATGACTGTTAAGGTACCAAGAGTGCACACGCTGAAATGTCTCGCCTTCCTTAGTAACCATTGATTTTATGTTGATAGTCCTAAATATAAAGCTTTACTACAACTATCACATACATGTAAACTTAACATGATCCAAGAAAATGAGGTCAAGGTGAGATAAACCAAACTGGAAAATACATGTACACCTTAGAATCGTTCCATTATCCAAATATGCTTTATATATAGTTGACCTATTGCACATCTAAGAAACAAACTTAACCAGAAAAACTTAACATTGATCAATCAACCATGAAAATGAGGTCAAGGTCAGATGAACCCTGCCAGACAGACATGTACATCATAAAATATTTTCATACATCAAATATCATGAATATAGTTGACCTATTGCATACAGTATTAGAAAAACAGACCAAAACACAAAAACTAAACTTTAACCACTAAACCATGAAAATATGGTCAAGGTCAGATGACACCTGCCAGTTGGACATGTACACCTTACAATCATTCCATACACCAAATATAGTAGTCCTATTGCTCATAATATCTGATATATGGACTTGACCACGAAAACTTAACCTTGTTCACTGATGGGGCATCCATGAAATGAGGTCGAGGCCAAGTGAAAACTGTCTGATGGGCATGAGGACCTTGCAAGGTACGCACATACCAAATATAGTTATCCTATTACTCATAATAAGAAAGAAATTAAGAATACTAAAAATCTTAACTTTTTTTCAAGTAGTCACTGAACCATGAAAATGAGGTCATGACAATGGACATATGACAGACGGAAACTTCATAACATAAGGCATCTATATATAAAGTATGAAGGATCCAGGTCTCCTACCTCCTGAAATATTAAGCTTTTAAGAAGTTTGTTAATGCCGCATGATCACTATCCCTATGTCAAGTTTTCTGTGACAGAAGTCGCAGGCTCGACAATAAAAATGACTCAAATTTGTGAAAGTAAAAAAAAATATATTGTACTAAAATTTACATGGCGACAAGTTTATGACTTTGTTTACGACAAGCTAATAAACGTTCACATAAGGTGTCATGATTTGTTCTTACTGGTAATCCGCTTGTCGGATGGGTCATTAATGATGATCGAAATTAATACATACAAATAGCATTGGCCAGTCAGCATTTGTCCATTTAATTTGTCATTTTGATATACGACCACACAATTTGCAAAGTTTACTGTAGTTTCATGTTGAAAAGTTGACAGAAAGACGAAACCTGAAATGAACCTATCAAAAAACATCGTTTTACTTGAATTCCATTAAAAATGTTTAATTCAGATGTATTTTGTCTTTGGTTGCCCTCACTTATGAGGAACTCACCATACTATATATTTGAATCAATAAAAAAAAAGTCATATCCTTTTGAAAAGTAGCCATAATTTCCATGTTTGCTTGATTTATATGACATTTTGTCTTAATTTCAAGTTTAAAATTTTTTTTTAATTTTGCTATAACTCTAAATCTTAGATAATGTTCAGCTTAGAGAATATTTGCTATTCTTCATAGGACCTTTTTGTTTTATGCTTTTATAACATTTCATAATTCTAATTTACTTTTGTCTTTCTGGTGACATATAATTGCTTACATCCACATAATTTGAACTCATGTGGATAATTGTCCAATTGGCAATCATATATCATGTATATGTACTACATCTCCTTATTTTTTTCATATATATATGTACCTAATGAAAGTTTTAACAGAAACATGATTACAATATTACCAAGAATGCATTAAATTCTAAAATAATGAATTTATTATTTAATCCTGCACATACTCTTTCAGAAATTTCCCAGGAAAACAACCACAATTACCAGCCTTTAACATAATCACCACTAAAGGTGATTTTTTAACTTAATCCTTTTAAACCTAACATCCATCAATCAATATTCCTTTTTTAAATGGTGAAAATTAATTCCTCAAACTACAGTGGTAAAAGAATCACAAAATTGCATAATAAAAATATAAACTATGCTAGCACTGTTCACAATATCACTTCTTAGATGTCAGAAAGGCTGCTTGACCAGTAAGAAAATATAATAAATCTTCTTCCTTATTCCAGTTAAAATGTTCATGTAGCCATTGCATGAATGGGAGACAACTCAAATCTCACTTTGAGCCTCATTTTACTCAGTGAATCTAAGGGAAAATTCTTATTGGAAAGAACATTGGAAAATCTTACGCAGTAATTTGCTTTCTTAAGTTGTCTCTGAGCTGGTTTTTGTTGAGACTTGGACTCCATTGCTGTCTTGATAGAAATCGTGATACGTATCCTTCTACTCTTTGCCTCAAATTCTGATAGGCTGGCTGTAAAAAAAAAGATATGTTGTAATCATAAATCCATAATGAATATTATAATTATTTAAAATTTGTCAAGTTTCCATGGAACCTGTGTCTCCACCTTGATTGCAGCTGTCAATGTAAAAGTGTAATGTTGCCTGTTAAAAGTGAGTTCATTTTTCAGTATAATACAGAATACAGAAATTAGCTTCTATTCAAGTTTTATAACTATCTGTGAAGGTTAACAAATCTATCATGTCAAAAAAATGTAATCCCAGACCATCTGTAAATATTGACTGCAAAAAAACTAAGTCAATCTATCAGTTAAATACTGAAAAATAAAAAAAATTAATATTACTATATATATTTTTTAATAGGGCAAACAGATTAAATGGGAAAACAAACCCAGAGCAAACAGACCTGATACCATACTTCTGCAACCTAGGGACATTTTTCATTTTTTTTTTAGGAGGCTCAGCTTTGTTTTTTTTTACTACCGTGTATTGTCAAGCTTGGTGCCTCATTATTGTTTTATAATCACTGAATGTGAACCTAGGAGTAGGATGTTGTAGCAATGATCTTATATGGATAAAACGACAGGGTAGATAACTAAAGTATATACTATTTTTAATGAAAAAGAAGGCAAGTAGTGTATTATTTCTTGACAATGAAATCCCACACTCACTTGATTAAACCAAAAGAATAGGAACAATGCTTTATCGATTGATGGCCTTCGCATGTTTTTAAGTGTTTCTGTACAACTACAACAGTCAGAGATATAACTCTATAGGGTTATCAGAGAAAAAATTTTCCATGTGTTATTACAGATACTTTCATGAGTTGTCTACTCTTTATTCCTTAAATTTTCTTAATCTGTAGTAACATATGTTTGTTATTTGTTAAATAAATCATAAATATTTTAATTTTTAGTGGGCACTTGGTAATTCTTGAAACTTTGCGCAGAAACTACATTGTAAATACATAGCCTTGATTTCTAATTTTCCAATTAAATTAATACATTTTTCATCAATCATTACCGACCTTGGGAGGGCTGAAAAGCCAGTCAAGGTCGTTAAACACTTCCATCATCATCAACCATGGTAAATCAATGAGACAAGGCTTTTTAGGGATAAACTTAGCTGTAATAACAAGGGTTAGTTATTAAAGGCATGCAACTTAATATATGAGACACTTGGGAATTACTGGGAAGATTGTGCAGAACCTCATTACATGCTCTGATCATTATTTCTTACAATAGATTAAAATACATTGTGATAAAGCATGATGTATGTCTGAGCAAAGGCTTTGAAGTGATGTAGAGAAGCTGTAATAAGACAATAATAATATCAATAGAACATGTATACATTTTAACAAAACAAATGATGTATATTGGCCCTTTGAAACATGTAACATACATATGTTATCACAGTTCTTTGATTTTTTAGTCCACAATAACAAATGTATGTTATTTTTCTCTAATAACCCTAGTATAGAGTTAAATCCTTGACTGTACAAGTACCTTTGTGTCAACATCAGCTAAACATTCTTTCCTAAACTGATCAAACAGTCCTTCCGATTTTAAAGCGTCTATGATATCTTTTACCCTCCTTTCTTCCTCGGCATCTGTACTTGTACTTGAGCTCATTATCAGCGACAAGAATGTTCAAACAGATGAATGAGAGCCATTTCATTTTGTATTTCCATTTTTCATTTTTTGGCCGGATGACGCCAAGATATTCTAAAATATATGCAATGACGGATTTGTTAAAGGTGTTTTCCGAACTATCAGATGAGAGGCCCTGTTTGGGATCAAAAATACAAAAGTATTAATTAAAATCGGACATGGGGTAATTGCAACATGTTATTGTAATTGAACATAATTAATTACAATTTTGCATGTAATTTGTGTTAGAGCATATATAATATTTATTTTTGAATTGTACTACGAAAATGTGCATTGTCAACATGATAAAAAAATTATTACTGATATAGTGAAGTAAGATAACAGTAACAGTATTTGAGATGCATATAATCTGGGACTTCTATACAGTACTCTGATACTAGTATACTATTCCCAGATATAATCGTTTTACAAAATTTATCAGTCAAAGTGAAAAGGAATTTGTAAAAATAAATAAAAATAAAAATATTGAGCATCCATTTGTAGCAACGAAATCATATCAAAACATGTAGTTCATGTTGGAATTTCTAATATCAGTCACAGTCTAATGCTACATGTATGCATAAGAATAAAATTTCAGATATTTTTTTAATGTATTTTGTAAAAAAAACAAACCAAAAGTTAAAAATCTCATTGCATATAAATTTGATAAAACTTGATACAATAAAACAAAAATGTTTAAACTTGATAAAATTTGCTCTTGAAATGATAATTAGTTCAGTCTCAGTTTGAATTGAATATCTGTAAGCAAAATCGTTTTTTACTGTCAAAATTGGCTTCCGGTAACCTAGAGCCGGCAAAATAGCATATTTTCTAATTTGCCGGTGCCGGCAAAACAGCCACTGCCTTTAAAATAACCATTACTAGTTTGTTTTGTTTATTTGGCCTTTGCCGGAGTTGGGCGCAACTTTATTTAGGGGAGGGGGGGGGGGGGGGGGGTTTCCAATGCTTTTCAACCGGCTTTAATTTAAACTATTTTGATTGAAAGGATAAATTAAATAATGAGATGCTCAAATGATGAAGTTATGGAAACCAAGCGCCACACGTCTTGCGTACTTTAGAATAAGCCTGGTAGCTTTGACAGTCAAGTTTAAGTATTTTAAAGGTCAATGAAATATGAAAATTGTTGCTGAGGTGAAACTCGTAAGAAAAGTACTGCTGATGCAAAATTCACTTTCTGTTTCGGCTTATATCAGAGACTTATTAAACCTTTATAAACCAATATATATTCGGTACGTCCAGAGTTGATTATAAATAAACGGATTTGTTCATAGTCCGCAATATCGACATTAACAATCTATTCTTATACTGCAGGCAAACTGACGAGTTACTGTTTAAAAATGATTACTAATTTTGTCGATACCGAATTAATAAAAAAAAAGTTCAGATAGTGTCACGTACATCATCATCAAAGTGTTTTAATCATCACTTTATATACCATATCTGGTTAAATTACCGGAATTCCAATGAGTAATCACTGTTCTTCATCAAGTTTATTTTAAAATATACAGAAAGACTGCACTAAAATTTATGACCATATAAAGATAAAGAGATTTGGTATGATTGGCAATGAGACAATCCATTAAGATAAAAGGAAGTGTACGAATAATGACAGGTCACCACACGGTCTTCAACAATGACTAACACGCATACTGTAAAAAATAAACTCTAGGCGATTCAAAGCTTGGCATATTTATAGACCCCTTAATATTCAGTGTTATAGACCGTATGTTGAGTATTTGAGTACTCTTGTATATCGGTGCTTTGTTTTTGTGTTCTATGTGTTTATGTACTTCGTACCGATCTAATGAGTTAAGCCATTTGAATCTGTTTTTTACAGTTTGTTCTTACAGGGGCGGATCCAGGTTTTTTTTTTAAAGGAGGGCGTAATTCCATAAAAGTGTTTATGTACGATTCATGTACGCCGAGCTGACTATACGGTATGGGCAGGGTTTTTTTCCATTGTTGAAGCTGGTCGTACGGTGCCATATACGTGAATGTACGTTAGCTGGCTATATCCATGACACATATCACTGGTGTCTCCTTTTCTTCATATTTATGTGCACAATGAACTGATTATAAGCCAGGCGAAACATTGAAAATGATAGTCATATTAGAAAATTTCAAAAGGAATAAGAAGACCAATGAAATTAAAATTAAATCATTTTTATGAAAGGTAAATACATATATAAAAAAAACTAACAGATGGCACAAAAGGACTACAGCAAACTGTTGATTTTTAAAAAATGTGAGCAAATATTTCAGATTCATAAAAATTATATTTGCCAGTCTTTCTCTTAATTTTACTGTTTAAGAAAACTGTTTACAAAATTTAGAACAAAGGACCACCATATTATTAACAGAAGAGATGAAACCAAAAGACGCCAGATTAAGAAAAAAAAAAATAAAAAAAATAAATAAATAAAGATGAAGTTCTGTGATTTCTTTTTAATATGAAACCAATAGTATTGCTAGAGCAGTGTTTGCTGTTTTTTTTTATTGACAAAAATATACATGTATAAATTTAATCGATAGTCTGTAGATAAAATAAATATACCATATATATTCATATATTCAGATAAACAAGCTTGGCTCCTTTTTAATAAAACATGCAGTCAAAAAAAAACTGAGGACAAGGGAATAGTATAATGACACAATTTAAAATGCATCATTGTGTTGTTGGTGTATAAGTTATAGTGCATATTAAAGTGGTCTTATATTCATGATACCCACAACTCCTTTTCTTCAATATTTATTTTTATTTCTAGCTTTCGTCTAAAAAAAGGTACACGAATGTGATTTTTTTCTGCTTACAAAAATAAATTGTGACGCCGTATCTAACACCCCTTTTCGAGCCTTAAAAAATAAAAAGTGGGCGTTACCACCAAGATTACTTCCGGAATAAAATGAAAATAAACAATCACACGAATTCGATTTCCGCGTAAAAGTGAAAGATGGGATGTTTAAACACAGATGACACTTTTATCAGTCCATGTGTAAAATACACATTATTTTTCTGGAATTTCTTATGTTGGGTAAGTTATTTTTCGCTGTTTGAAGTCTTCTATACATTTAAAGAGCCGAGAAACACACTCTGGCTGACACCCCCTTGCTCTGTTGAACAATTAACTGTTAAGTATTGGAAAGTGGTCATACACGTGTAATGAGATAAATGCACTGGGGCTCCATTTGGTGTTTATGGTTCGATACTTGTAGTATAAGTTTTTTTTTTTTTTATTATTCTAAAACAAAAAATAAGTCCAACTACAATGAAATATAGCTGTGCTTCCTATTAGATAAACCGATAAATTACTCTTTTCCATTAAGTACATTTGTAGAGTACACCTTAAGCTCAGTTGGTAGAACAGGGTATCAGGTCCGTTAGCCCCCAATACATGTTGGCACCCTACACGTTCGTCCCCTGCGTCCGTTCGCACCCTACACATTCGCACCCTTTTTTTATTCAAAAACATGATGAATTATTAGATGATTTTTAGATGTTTATATCAAAATGATTTTATTTTCATCAATAAAAATTTAATTTCATAAATAAAAATTCGTGAATTTTTAAATGAAATATTGTTTTAAATTGATTTGATGATTAATTATTATACGGTATGTTAATTATGAATGATTACTGTTAATATGGTGTTTACACAGCTAAACTTAGTGTTATTTTTATGTGTTTGAAAATCGTGATTTTTGGTTTAAATAGCTTTGATGTAAATTCTACATTGGTGTTATTATTATGTGTTTGATAATCTTGATTGTTGTTTTAACTAGCTTTGATGTAAATTCTGCATGTAGTTACATTTTGTAGCATGTATTTAGCTTGGTATGAGTAAAAACAATGAAAGATCAAAATGTTATTGTTGTTGAGTTTAATAGCAGTTTGGTATCTTAACATTAAAAAATATTCAACACACAAAACCTTTATAGAAAGTCACTTTATTTTGAAACAATGAAAAAAAATTATAGCAATACACTAACCAAAACACGATTAAGAAAATATTCAACACAAAAAAACTTCACTTTATTTTGATACAATGAACAAAACTTATTTATAGCAATACAATAACAAAAACACGATTAAAAAATTATTCAACACAAAAATCGTTTTAAGAAAGTCACTTTAATTTGAAACAATGAACAAAAAATGTTTATAGCAATACACTAACCAAAAAACGATTGAAAAATTATTTAACACAAAATCAATAAAAAGGGTGCGAATGTGTAGGGTGCGAACATAAAAGGGGGAGAACGTGAATGGGAGTGAACATGCTTTTGGGCAAACGGACCCAGATTTGTAGAACAGTGGCTTACTGTGCCAGGGGTCTTGGATAACTACATTTTGTACCTGGGCTGGTACAATGGTAATTTAAAAAGGAATATCATGCTCTCTTGCATTTTGTCTTGTTAAAAAAGTATGTTATTATTGTGTGCGAAGGGTGTCTCTCGAACAAGCATAAGGTTTGCTGTGGAACCGTACATCAGTGTTCCTGTGCTGATATCTGAATAATGGAGAACCAAATTTTTGGAAGCCAAATACCCCAAAAATCAGGATCATCAAAAACCAAACTTCTATTTTTTTTCAAAAGTCAACTTTACATAACTAGGAAAAAAGTATTCTCTTATACAGAAAAAGTAATCTCAGGAACAGTGAGCATTTTATAAACACATTAAATTACAATACAAAATGATTCAAGATTGACAATAAGGAAAAATTAGAAGGGTCAATAATACTAAGAACAATAGAAAAACCTACTGGCAGTGCCAATGACAGCATAACTTTTAATAGTATGATCAAAGGAGATGTGGTATATACATCAACAGCAACCCATGATGACACAAAAAACCAAAAGACATTGAGATGTCAACAAACAGTCTTCAACATTTTTAAATAAAGGGGGTTTAACAACTTGGCATTTATTATAGGATTTTTTTTACTGTCTATATTAGTTTGTTGTTGAAGACTATGATTCTGCAGTGATTTTAATATTTTTTAAATTCCTGCAAAGGATATGAGGCAAGATGTTAATATCCTTCTGGGGTTCCTTTTTTTTGAAAGTGCAACATTGATTTTAGATAAATATTTTGATATGTATTGTTTATTTCATTATGTCTTTTCTTGTTGGTATCAATGTACTAAAAAATTATTTCTAGGTTTAAAAAGACCAAGAATTTCATATCACTGAATATTGACTTTTTCTTTTTAAGTCCAGGTTACCATTTACTGTTTTGATTTTTTAGCCCTATTTTAACTCAGTTTCTTATATTTTCTGAAGCAATAGCATGTGGGACCTGAAAGAAAAACACCCAAAACTTTGACTTTTGTCTTCTATAAGTTTGATGTGTTTATTTCTGTCTAATTCAATTTCCTTTTAATTATTTTTTGAACTTTCATATTTGTATGGAAAATCCAATGGGAAAATGGACTTCAAAGAAGACCTTAGGTCTAAACCTTTTTTCCAAAACATTCTTTGCTCAGTCTTTTGTTGGTTAAATGTTAATTATTAGCAGGAATGTTTCTTTCATTATAGATTTTTGTGTATCTGATGAAAAGAAAATGTCTGAATTCCACCTCATTTAACAAAATTTTATACATGTTATATTAATAAAAACTTGTTCATTTTATGAGGACTATTATTATTATCATCACGAAAAGGAAATTTCTTTCAAATAGGAACCTTTCATAACATTTAGTCTCCTTCAAAATAAGTCGTTGAAGGGAAAAAAGTGCATTGTTAAGAAAAGTGCCTTGTTGAACCTTTTAATGTTAATTCCACAAAAGTTACAAACAAAAAATATTGTGTAAACTTCATCGCAAGGAAAAGTAAGCTCATTTGTCTGTAAATTAACATATTTTCTTATTCAACTGAACCATACAAAATATTGATAGAAAATGATAAACATCATCAAAGGTCAACAAAAAATACATGTCAAACAGCCTGCAGATGTTTATTGGATGTCATTTTCTATGTTAGTTACTGAAATAACATTGACTTCAAGGAGATTTTTGTTTTTGTATTTTATGGTGATACATTGTACCCATATATGCAGGAGATACTTGGTGTTAACATTAAAAAAACAAAATGCACAAGACAAGCATATACATGTCATTCATAACATCATCAGACAAGACTTATTTTCAATTTTAAATTATTCAAGCAAAATTATTTTTAGTTTAAAATTTTTATTTTAGTCACTTTAACATAGATTTCCTTGAAGAAAATAGATAAAAAATGAAAATATAAGAATTGAAAAAAATGTATTTGACACAAACAAAACACAAATTTGGAACAATAAATACATGTAGCTACATTGTATATATACATGTACGTATTCTGGCGTTTAACTGAATTAGTGATATAGACAGCTGTTAAGATGTTAACAGCAGTGCTTGAGGTCAAAATATTTACAATCCAGGTTAACAAATGATGGGGAACTAAAACAACCTTAAGGCTATTTCAGAATTATTTGGTGGGGTGGGGGGTTGGAAGGCAATTATATTTATAATAAAAGAGGGGCAGTGAGGTTTGAAAACAAGATTTTCACATAATTAAGCATTGCCTTTCACCCCCTCCGTCATCATTTTAATGAAATATTGAATCTGAATCTTTTAATCTTGGAATAGCCCTTACATTTATTAAGGACCAAAAAGAAGAGCCGAATATGATTAAGGAATGGGGCTATGGTATAATGCATAAGACAGAGATGGTTTTTTAATTTCCTAATGCATTTTATTTAGGGTTCTTTAATGGCAAACATGTACAATGCTAACTGATATATGGTCTATTCTTGTAATTTTTCTATCAAATTTGGTTTAAAATACATATATAACAATATAAAACTGAACATAGTTAAATTTACAGTTTGTGAGTTTAATGTATACAGTTTGACTAAAATTGACATTATAATGTATTTTTATACTTTATTGGTGTTCATATACATTTGAATTTCAATTATCCTTTGTTATATATTATAATACACAGGTAAAACTAATATATGTCATAGTTTATGAAGGGTAATATCTTCACTTTGAACATTATAAAAAAATATTTCACCTTACAGAAAACTTAATATAGGGATAAATAACCTGAATAAGGAAATTATAAACATGGTAATAAATTAAATGAGGTCATGATCATGATGATGTGTCAGAGAAAAGATGTGAAATATAACTAACTTCTGCGTCATTTGGTCTCTGGCGGAGAGTTGTCTCATTGACAATCATACCACATCTTCTTATTTTTTATACATGTATTAAAAGTAGCCTGCCAAAACTAAATTATCAATTCAGGCTTAAAGAATTTCCTTTTATTTTTCCATATATACATGTACATATAGTCATATCATTTTAAAGTGCAAAGTATTTTTTTAATAATTGTTAAGATTCTGATAAAATATTGATTTAAATTTACATGTTATTCAAGCTTTTTTGTAAGATTTATATCTAAGTATTTAGGTCCTTTAAGGACAAAATGAATGATTTGGGGTTAATGGTAGGGGCTAGCATGTGGAGGGTACCCCCTTAGGTCAGGTTTAAAAATTGCCTCAGATCGATCTCCAGGTCACTTTAAAGCAAATTTAGGAAACCCTCTGGAACATTTTCAAAGGTCACAGGTAATTTTATATAAGATGTCGAGTTGACAGGTCAGATTTAGCAACATGGTAGATCTTCATAATTAGTCTCTGTTAAGATTTGTTCACAATTTGTCTATGTATATAGTAATTCAGAGCTTAATACATGTATATGATTTGATTTGATTTTTGGTGTTTTAACGCCACTTTTAAGCACTGCTTTTGGGCTATTTCGTGGCGGCCAGTTTTTATTGGTGGAGGAAGCCGGAGTGCCCGGAGAAAACCACCGACCTTCGATAGGAAAACTGACAATCCTAGTCAATTAAGATTGGAGTCAAGGGCACCCGCACGAGCGGGGTTCGAACTCATAACCTCAGTGTTGACTGGCTAGTAATTACAGTAGTAACTACTTAGACCACTCGGCCACCGAGGCCCCTACATGTATATGTAATACACACTTAATTGTCTGTTGTTGAAAAACATTTTAACCATTAGATGTCTCTCTTGGTTTAGTTGCTGGCAACTGAGCATATATTCCATATCTCCTTTCTTTCATATATATGCCATTTATTCACACTTTTGGCTTGTTGCATTTTGATTAAAACTATATAAAATTCAATATATAAGAATATTCTAGAATTACTTAATTAATGTTAGGTAAAACATACTGAAATGATTTAATCTGTTTTTAATTAGTAGTAACATTTTCCACGTGCTCATATATGTATTTAGGGGCCAGCTGAAGCCCGCCTCCGGATTTTCTTGCTGTGTTGAAGACCCATTGGTGGCCGTCAGCTGTTTTCTACTGTTTGGTCGGGTTGTTGTCTCTTTGACACATTCCCCATTTCCATTCTCAATTTTATATGTATATACTTTGTACATAAATGTTTAATTTGTCTAATGTGTCAACTTTTTCAAAGGTAGAAAAATTTAAGGATGCATAAAGTTACTTCTTTGTCTGACAAATATAAGGATATGAAAATTTGTTATGACTGACAAACAAATGGAAGTTTTTAACGACTGTGACTGGATATACATCCCTCGCACGGTCGGCAAAGTTATGACTGATACCCTTCTGGCTTATTTAAAAACTGTTGTCAGGGGTTAGTAAGAGTTGTTAAGTGGAATGAAGACTCATATGGTTCAGATCACATAAAGTACATGTTAATGTTTGGTTATTTAGAGCTTTACATACATATATGTATGAACTCTTGTCTATTGGTCACATTAATATATAACCCAAATGTCTTATTCATATCCACCTTTTATCATGTTTATTCACAATTTTGTCTTGTTGCATTACACACAGTATATGGACTACATAATAAGGCATTTAATCAATTAACAATATACATGTATTTTGTACACTCAACATTATGTTTATGTCATAAATTGTGTCCCTTTGAAATAGGAATATTTTCAAATTCCATTGATTTTAGAGAAAGTTCAAATTACCTTAAGAAAAACCTGGGACCTGAGATATGTTTTATTAGGTCAAAGGCAAAGTTATATTCTTTTTGAAATTTACTAACATGGTATAATCCTAAAAATTATATGTTATATATACTGTAAATTCTGAAATTATTGTTTTTATGACCTGTCAGGGAAAGGGGGGTATTTATAATGCTATCAGGTCTGTACATTCAATCATCTGTCTGTCCAGCATCAGGTTAAAGTTTTGGTTTAAGGTAGTTTTGGTCACATCAATTAGAAGTTCATTATGCATGTTATGATATGAACTTAATAATATGTACAATGCATGCTAAATGAGAGTTTCATTAGATTTTAGCCTCCACTGAACATTAAAATGTGATACATGTAGTGTGAGCAGGGCAAGGTGTCAGTCATATGGACATATATTCTTGTTTCTTCCTATTATATACTTATTTTTTTTTTATTTTGTAGATGATCGGTGGTGGTTTTATAGGAGCAGGAATATGGGCATTCATAGAAAAGAATAAGTATCATGGAATAACAAGTCTGGATGATGCCTTACAAAATGTTTCCATAGCTTTTGTAGTCTTAATTCTAATCGGAATAACAATATTTATAGTATCTTTATGTGGTTGTATTGGTGCCTTAAGAGAGAATGTTTTGCTATTAAAAATTGTAAGTTTTTGTATTTTCATGTTTAGACATCTTATACTGTAAATTCAGAAATTATTGCGAGGTTTTTATTATTGCGAATAATGCGACTGGGTGAGCATCGCAATAATAAGAACTCACATTCTGATATCTGATTCATATATCTTTATGCACATTTTCCTGAAATCACAATAATTAATCTCGCATTTTTGTCCATTCTTCAAAAATCGCAATGATAAATGCACGCAGTAATTTCTGAATTTACAGTACATGTTAAATGTTTTTGTATCATAAATAAGATTTAATTAATAGAAATATAGTTTCTTTGGGTTTATATTTCATACATAATAAACAACAACTCATCATTTAGACAGAATATGGTATCTTTTCATTAATTTAACATTCACACTTAAGGGAACATGATGTATATCAGATAGTCTGAAATCACTCCCTCCCCCAGACACTCGATCATTATGGATACCATCAGCAATGTTCCATGGACATTAAAAGAGATAGAAGATACAATGTACCAAGTGTAAAGTTATAACGAAATACAAATGTTTGTCATCTGTTTCAATTGTTTCAAAACGTTTCTTTTGTAACATATTAAATAAAGGAAAATTTTGCAGAATGTTCTTTTTTATACGACCGCAAAAATAAAAAAATGTTTGGTCGTATATTGGTATCACGTTGTAGTTGTTGTCGTCGTAAGCGTCGTCCGAAGACAGATGGTTTCCGGATAATAACTTTAGTATAAGTAAATAGAAATCATAAAATTTTAACACAAGGTTTATAACCACTTAAGGAAGGTTGGGATTGATTTTGGGGGTTATGGTCCCAACTGTTTAGGAATTAGGGGCAAAAAAAGGGGAAAAACAAGGGTTTTTCTGGTTAAAGGACAATTGAGATAATTTAAAAAAAGTGTCAATTCGCATAGTGTATTGCACAAAAGCAAACAATTGAATATAAATTCAAAGCATATAACCAATTTGAAATTCTTTGACTACAGTTATTCTGTGTCAGAAACCTATTATGTGTCAAAAATTTAATTACAATCCAAATTCAGACCTGTATCAAGCTTGAATATTGTGTCCATTTTGGCCCCAACTTTTCAGGGTTGGACATCTGCGGTCGTATCCAGCTGCGCTCAGCAAAGCAATTTATTTTATTTTAAAATCCTGTGATTTTATTCCGTTATTATGAAATCATTATAAATAAACTGTTAAGGAAGGGTCATTGAAATTGAATGTTCATTTAGTATGTTAACAATTATCTCGCCTTAACATGCTTGCGAATTTTGTCAAGAAAAATCAATTAATGTAAGGAGTGAAAGTAACATATATGACTTTATTGTACAACAGTGTTATATTAATATATACATGTATAAACATGATAAATAAATACATTGTACAACGTATTTATAAAAAAAATATTTTTTTCTCTTTTCAGTATTATTATATTATGATCATCATATTTTTGTTTCTGATTGGCCTAGCTGTAGCTACATTTGTTTTGAAAGACAAAGTAAATGATTTTCTGAAACACAAAGTACTAAAAGACAGTTTGATTACTAAATACCAAGATGACAGAGATGACCAGGCAGTCATTGACTGGGTACAGGAAAATGTAAATATATATTTAAAGATTTAATGCTGGTTATTCCTAAGTTGTGGAGGATAAAATGTTTTTGACCCTTCCATCAATCTATATATATGTCAGTTTGGTCCTGACTTTCTTGTCACCAGGATAGCACTTTCATTTTTTGTTGGATCCTCTTGGGATGAAGGTTTCCACTCATCAAAACTATGGAAGTCTGAAATTGGGGGCACTTTTTTTTGAGGGACACCATTTTACATATGAGGGTCTAGATAGGGGGTATAATTTCTATATATTTAATTTTTATGCCATTATTCTCTATCATGTTTATTCTTTATTTGTTTGGCCAATTAGTCAATTATTCTCTATTCTTCATTTTGTTGGCCCTTGATTTTCTTTTTTTGTCCATTATTTTCTATTCTGTAAACCCCATCCAGACTCTCACATATTTTGGTCCAATAAAGATATCAATTTAAGTCATGTAAGTAAGTTATGAAAAAATAAAATTATTTTATTGATTTCTGATACCATGTAGTTCAGTGTTATTTCTCAAAATTTTTGTTTTACCTTGACGAAGTAAAAAAAGTGAGACTTGGGCGCACTGATTCAATCAGCAGCAGTGGCGAAGGTAGATGCAGCAGTGTCGTCAACAATGTATTAAGTTTGTGATTAGGTCAGTTTTAGTTGGTATGCAGTTGTATAAGTATTGGCACATTTCATTTCCATTGAGATTATTTGGCCTGGTTTCCTCAGTCTTGTTCTATTGACTTTGAAACTTTGGTTAGTTTACATGTAAAAGTTTGTGATAAGGTCAGTTTAAGATGATTACCAGTGGCGGATCCAGCCATTTATAAAAGAGGGGGGTCCTAACACAGGATAAAGGGGGGTTCCAACTATATGTCCCCATTCAAATGCATTAATTGTCAAAAAAAAAGGGGGGGTTCCAACCCCCGGAAACCCCCCCTGGACCCGCCACTGATCCACCAACATGACTCATGGTAAGTCAATGGTATGTAGTATGCAGTTGTATTTGCATTTGCATGTGTAATTTCCATGAAAATTATTTGGATCCTCCCCCTCATCATGGCTCATTGACTTTGAAATTTTTGCTTAGTTTATTGTCTTGTGTGTCGGAAAGCAAGACATAGGGATTGCTTTTCCAGCGAAGACGACGATGATGACGGCATCAACAATTGTTAAGATTTCTGCTTGAGTTAGTTTGATAGGAAGTACTTGTGATGGACTATTGATATTTAATATAAAGTTGCATTACTATCAGTACATATCAATTTGACAACTATTTTGAGGCCCTGCCCCTAGTTCATGGTCCAGTGACTTTGAATTAATTAGCAATTTTCATTCAATGTTAAGTTTTCTGATTAAGTTAGTTTGATAGGACCTACTTGTGATAGATCAATGATATTTTGTATGAAGTTGCATAACTTTCAGTACATATCAGTTTGACGACTATTTTGAGGCCCTGCACCCTAGGTCATGGTCCAGTGACTTTGAATTAATAAGCAATTTTCAATGTAAAGTTTTCTGCTAAAGTTAGATTGATAGGAACTGCTTACAAAAGACAACAATATTATCTATAAAGTTACATTGCTGTCTGTTCATCTCAGTTTGTTGACCATTTCGAGGCCCTGCACACTAGATCATGGTCCAGCCACTTTGAATTAATAAGCAATGTTGCTGTCCATCAGATTGTCTTTTTCTGAATTTTGTGCAGACAGGTTAGACATATCTCTTTTTCAACAGTTTATATGTCATGTACATGTATGTTAAAGTTTGTGTTTAGGTCAGTTTAAAAGGGAACCAACATTTATTTCTAGGAAAACAAGAAATTTTGATGCTAAAACTAAAAAATCAATTTGACTTAGAATGCTAAAAGTTCTGTACAAATCTGACAACTGTTTGATGTTGGTACAAACTTTTTTTTATGAAATATATACCGGTATACATTTACCAGTGGCTAAAGTAATCGCATAGTTATTATATGATTGAAACCTGAGTCTTTAAAAGGTAAAGGTTTGTTTTTTTACATTTCATTTAAATTGTATAAAGTGATATTGCTGAGGCAGGGATGTCAGGGGCTGATCCAGGGTTCCACAAAAGATAGGAAGTAATTGTCTGTTATAGTATCAAATCAGGCCATTCTGATGTTGATGTAATTCAAATGTGTATCTATAGTTTATATAGACTTTGGTAATAAAGATATATAAGTAGTAAAAATAGTGCAGAGCATAGAGAGATAAATTTTTGTATTTTTTTGTTATGCCAAAAAAGAATTTTTTTTTCTGTTATAAGAAAGGGGAGTGAGGTAGTTTGCCCTATATGCACTCATCTGAATCTGCTACTGGATGCTTATTTGATTGCATAAATATATTTTTTTTCAGTTTGAATGCTGTGGAGTACAGTCATACAAAGATTGGAATAACAATCAATATTACAACTGCTCCAGTACATTGCTGACAAATTCCCTTAGATGCAGTGTACCACATTCATGTTGCAGAGTACAAGATACTTATAAGGTTACTGATTATGTGTAAAAAAGATAATACTAATAACCAAGGTTACAAACTCTGTTTCTATGTGAATAAGGAGATGAGTTATGATTACCAATGAGACAGCTATCCACCAAAGACCAAATAACAAGGATGTAAACAATTATAGGACACCATACAGCATCTACCAATGAGCAAAATCCATACCTCATTAAAAGCTATCAAAGACCCTGGGATAACAAAAGGTGAAACAATTTGAAAATGAATGGCCTGATTTAAGCTAATAGCATTAAACCAATGCCATTATCACAGACAGCAACTAAGGACAATCACTTTTCTATAGGCTCCTGGCTTGGGATAAGCCCATAAGGTTTTTAGTATCATACATAGAGGACAAAGGTTGTTAAGCACTGAATTTGGTACATAGGCTGCATATTTGTCTTAAAATTTAAGCTTTAGTTAATACTTTTATTGCTAAATTAATATAATGAACAGTGGTTGTCGTTTGTTGCAGTTTCTCATATTTGTTTTTTGTTTCTTGTTTTGTATGGTTTGATCTTGTGAAGTGCTGTTGTACCACTATCCCAGGTTAGAGGGAGGCACCAACAAACTAGATTAACCCCACCACATTCTGCATGTGCCTGTCCCAAGTCAGGAGCCTGTAATTCAGTGTTAGTCGTTTGTTGCTGTATATCATATTTGTTTTTTATGCCCCACTTAGGGGCATTATGTTTTACAGTCTGTGCGTCTGTTCATCTGTCCATCCGTTTGTTCGTCCGTCTGTCCCACTTCAGGTTAAAGTTTTTGGTCAAGGTAGTTTTTGATGAAGTTGAAGTCCAATTAACATCAAACTTAGTACACATGTTCCCTATGATATGATCTTTCTAATTTTAATGCCAAATTAAAGTTTTGACCCCGATTTCACAGTCCACTGAACATAGAAAATGGTAGTGCGAGTGGGGCATCCATGTACTATGGACACATTCTTGTTGTTCATTATTTTGTGCATAAATCAGGTCGTATGTTTTCTTATTTGAATTGTTTTACATTTGTCATTTTGGGGCCTTTTAAAGCTGACTTTGCGCTATACGTTTAGCTCATTGTTGAAGACTGATGGTGACCTATAGCTGTTAACTTCTGTCATTTGGTTTCTGGTGGAGAGTTGTCTCATTGCCAATTATACCACATTATTTTCATGCCCCACCTATGTTTTTCTACGTCCGTTTACTGGACGTATTATGGTATACCGTTGACCGTCTGTCCGTCCGTCCGTCGTCAACATGTCGGACATTAATTCAAAAACACTTTAACCAATATGCATGAAACTTTTGTGAATTGTTTATATCTATTGACGTCAGCTCCCTTTCATTTTTTATAAATTTCGGATTTACCGTTTCCAAGTTTTGGGGTTTTATTCATTAAAAAAGGGGGGATTTTCCAGTTTTCGGTCAATAACTCAAAAAAGTTTCACCAATTTGCATGAAACTTTTGTGAATTGTTCATATCTATTGACGTGAGCTCCCTTTCGTTTTTTTATAAATTTTCGGAATTTACCGTTTTCCGAGTTTTGGGCTTTTATTCATTTAAAAAAGGGGGAATTTTCCAGTTTTCAGATAATAACTCAAAAACAATTTCACCAATTTGCAAGAAACTTTGGTGAATTGTTTATTTCTATCGACATGAGCTCCGTTTTGATTTTTATAAATTTCAGACTATGCGTTTCCGATTTATGGGGTTTTATTCATTACAAAAAAGGGGATTTTCCAGTTTTAGGACAATAACTTTCAGCATATATTTTATGAAACTTTGATAAATTGTTTTTATCTATTTTTGTAAGCTCCCTTTTGATTTTTATGAATTTTCGAGTTGTAAGATTTTATTTGTTTATAGTCTGACAACAGATTTACTAAGTAATGCGCAACAGCACAGTGTATTGCACAACAGCAAGAAATCTTTCATATAATCAATTTCAAGTTCTTTGACTACATTTATTCAGAAACCTATAATATATCAAATATTATTCCAGATTCAAATAATTCCTTGTTTACACATGTTCCCTATAATATGATCTTTCTAATTTTAATGCCAAATTAGAGTTTTGACCCCAATTTCACGGTCCACTGAACATAGAAATTTATATTGTGAGTGGGGCATTCATCTACTATGGACATTATGAGTGTCAGAAAAAGAGTCTGCTTATGACCATTTTGATGCTTACAATCAGTCACCTAATTTTTTCACTAAAATTTTTAATAACTACACACAAATGTATGCAATTGAAATACTTTTGAGTTTTGCAAAATCATAAAATTATAGTATCATAAATTTTTATCTATAGATAACCATTTAATAACAATTGAATGGAGATTGTGTATTAAAATAATATTTTTTAAATTTCAGTCTGGTATGACTAATATTTTGTGTGGAGGAAATGTCTTGGATACAGTAAGTACTTATATGTTTATTGATTCATTTCAGATTAGATTAACACATTTGTTTGCTCAATTGCCACAAAGGAAATGAACGCAAGTTAGGTCCTTTCCCAACAATAGAAATATTCTAGTAAACAAATATAAGTTATAATTAAATTATATGTACAATTTGTATTATGTGGAAATGTTACAGCAACTGAACCTCATAAATGCACATATATATACATGCATGATAAAAGGAGTAAATTTATGAAGTTGTTATACAACTTGCGATTGTTTCATCTACAGCCATCACTAGCCTGTCAACACTAAAGTTGTGAGTTCAAATCTTGCCCATGGCAGGTATATACGACTCCTATCTTAATTGACTAGGAATTACAGTTTACCTGTCAAAGATTGGTGGTTTTCTGCAGGTACTCTGGCTTCCTCATGAATTTCTAGCTTCTTACACATGTCCTTTTCAGACGTGTTAATTTGAATTTATTCAATCCTGCATCAATATACAAAATTTTTATTTTATTATTGAACAATTATTAACCTCATCTATTTTTTTAGTCAGGAGATTTATCACTGATATACACTCAGGGTTGTGTGGATGCCATATTATCCCTAGTTTTTTCTGCCAAGAATTTACCAGTAGTTGGAGGTGTATGTATTGGAATTCTTCTGCCAATGGTAGGTATATTAGTAGTAAGTCATAGACTTGTTTTGGTAGGTAGCAACTATGTAGTAGTGACAGTTGTATATATTCAAACCTAGATGCATTAGTTAAGTCATTTCCATGGAAACTCTAGATTATTTGCTAATTGTTAAAATTATTTTTTGTAAGATATCTCATCTAAGTTTTCAAGCTTCCAATAACAGCATTGTTTTAAGAAAGATAAGAGAGTAAGCAATAAAAAGTGGTTGCTTTTAAAAAAATATAAGTGTTGTTCCATTACAACTTTTGCAACTAACCTCTTTTGAAAATGTAACATCCTTCACTGACAACAAAAAAAGGGGGGAACTATAGGTGATTAATTTCACAACTTTTCATGAGTAGAAAACTACCACAAATATGAATAGTCGTAAATATGTCTAACTTGGACCTATATACTCTCACATAAATACACGTCCAGAGTTAGAAAATGGTGAATAAAAATTGCCATTAATAATCAGCTGAAAGGGCCAAAAGTGTAAAAGAAGTATCCATGAAAATAAGTTTGTTTACAGTATTTCATTTTAAGAAAAAAATTCTTTTGGTCAATGTTTTGATAAAAGATGCCTAAAATTTACTTGCCTCACAACTTCCCCCTTCCCATTCTAAACTGTCTTTTCCTGCTTGAATTTCAGACCAAGGAAAACCTTGAATGTTGTTCCTTAGAAATGCAGAACCAGTTAAAATCAGTTATAACCAGAAAGTTTCTTATTATCTCTAACCAGAAATTTGTGTTCATAATTCATATCTGCATAGGCATAGTCTGTTAAAAATATCCTTGGTTTATAAAACTGTTTATTATTGCGAACCAAATGAAACTTTTCCACAGATTCATCTCCTATTGTTCAATCTAAAATACAATAGTTATTGTTCTCTGTGTAGTTTTTTCACTGGGACCTTTAAATTGCTTCTTAGAGAAATCTTTCACTCATTGATTAATTTACATACCGGGTAAGTAAAAAAAATTATCTTCTAAAAGATGAAAATACATGTTTTACATTAAAAAAACTGCATGTGATTTTGTATTTATTCAATATCAATAATATATTTTCAATCTGTTCAATATAAATACTGATTTAATCATAAAAAGTTGATTTCTGACAAATTTTTTAGCATTGTTCCTATTGAAATTTGCATTTTTGGTTTTTTTTATGGTTATAGAATACATTTATTATGAGAAGGCCTTAATTTTAACATCATCATTTCCCAGTTTTTATTTGTCAAAACACACAAAAAAATGAAAATTTTTAAATAGGAACAATGTTGAAAATTTTGTCAGAAATCAACTTTTATTAATAATTGAACCACTGTTTACATTGAGCAGATTGAAAACATATTATTGATATTGAATAAATACAAAATCACATGCAGTTTTTTTAATGTAAAACAAATATTTTTATCTTTTAGAAGATAATTTTTTTACTCAGGTGAATTAATCAATGAGTGATGGATTTCTCTTAGAAGAAATTTAAAGGTCCTAGCTGCAGTGAAAAAACAACACAGAGAACAATAACTATTGTATTTATTCAATGGGACAATAGAACTGACAAAAGTTTGAACAGATTGAACAATAGGAGATGAATCTGTGGAAAAGTTTCATTTGGTTTGCAATAATAGGAAGTCAGTTTTGATTTAACCAATTGTCCATACCTACTTAAAAAAAAATGACAGAGATACCATTTTTACATCCTTAAAAAAAATGACTTGAATTAAATTATATTTTTAACAAAAAAATTTTTTTTTTTTTTTATTTTGTTTAATCATTTTGTAAGGCATGGCATGTAGCATATACACTATATATATGAATTGAATTGCAGGCAATAGACTGCATGTGATGTTTTTTTTGCATGGATTATCATATACTCTGATACTATCTAAGAAAATTGTTTTTGCTTATGCTGAAGATATATACTATCCTGAATCTTAAATATTGGCACGCAACCTGATATGGCAGTTGTTGGTCTCCTAGCTTCACCTGTATGTCAAGATTAAAAAGTGAAATATACCTTGTACCTTTTTTAGTGGATTTAGAATTCGAACACCTTCCCAATTTGTACCATCCTTACATGTTATGTATTAAATATGGATACAAAGCTCAGAAACCATATCTCTAGGACCAACTTCTTCTACTTAATTATCCTGTAGTTTAATATTTTGTATTTCATCCTGCTTGACAAATTTCTTACAGAATTTAATTCCATGTATATAGAAATTGATGTTAAACATGGCCTGATTGTGTTTGCAATGCTTTTATATATTAAACTGAATTTTGGTGTATTTATCTTTTAGATGTATATTGATTATATTGATGAGTTATGGTCAGAAAATTAAATGAAAATTGCACTTTTGGTGACTTATTGCTGTGATTACTGATTTTGAAATTATTCTTGATGTTAGATTGCATTTTGATGAACTCCGCTTACTTACTTTTGAACGCTTAATGTAACCCTTTGACTTAAACAATGTAAAGAAAATATTGAACTGATTTTTGGTGCATCCTAAATTATCAAGTTACAGTTTGACTTGCCTGTTGTTGTGGTTGACATATTTTTGACAGAATTATGGTTCTAAATTTGTTTTTATAAAAAATCTTAGCACTTTCTCTGTAACATGTAGTTGCCATATGTCCATATATTTGTGTTTGGTTGTATATAGCACAATTTTGTTGTTTCCCATAGTTTATATATCCAGTTGGTTGAGGATAAAAACTTTCTAATCATAGATTAACTTCCTGCATCCTAATATGCTCATTCTAAGCATTTAAAAATTTAGCATGAATACTGTTATCAAACTTTATGTACAAACCTGAAACTGTATTTGTTTACATCATTGTGAGTTTCATTTTCTCTGTCATTAACATTTATTTTAAGTTAAAGCATCAGATAAGGAAACATAATAAAACTGGTTATTACTCACATAGTTTTAATAAATGTGTAATATTACTTTTGATGCCCCCGCCATTGGAGAAGGGGCATTAAGTTTTATCCCTGTCAGTACGTCCCAAAATTAGTTTCTGTTCTCTAACTTTAGTTGGCCTCAACCAAATGTTATGAATTTTATACACAATGCCTATTTCCACCAAACACAGATCAAGTTCTAATTAAGGTGGTGTTACTTTCAATGTTCTTGTTTTTGATGTTTCGATCCAGAAAAATTCCTACTAGGGCATGCGGTCATGAAAATTTAGAGCATGATTATCGTACTTAGACTTAGAAATCAAATAATCAAAATACTGGATTGGTGTTCGTGCACAAATTTTGTGCCCAGAGTAATAAGTATAGTTTTATGACCAAAAGCCCAGGCATGTAATCTGATTGATTGATAGATGGTTTGTTTTTTTATGTCCAAGGAGCCCAAAAAGCTATACTGATGTGATGTCAGATGGTCATGTAATCCTGAAACCGAGGATGTAAAATCAACATAAAATGAAATTGAATGAAAAATGTGGATGGGATGGTACACAAAAGCTAGTCCTATGGGTATAAAAATCTGCCTTCGGGGAATGAAATACTTCTACCCGTTTTAGATCATAAGGTGAAAGGTCAAAGTCACAAAAGCTATATTCTGTTTATATTTGAATTATTTTATGCTATATAAATGAGGAGTGGCATACATCCTTTAGGTCCCAGCCTGAATCTGCCACTGAAAACTCCTACAACTAAGACAACTTTATCTATAATATTCTAATTGCAACTTGTCTAATATTCTTCTTGTGTTTCATTCATTAGAGGACTCCTGTGTCTCACTCTGATAAAGTTGTCTGTCATAATAGTGTATAAATATATGAAAAGTGGTTTTAAACACATCTAGTAAATAGATGCATAAATAATGTTTTGAATGACATACTCTCCTTATTATTAGAGTAGCTTTAATTTGATTTTGTTTTCTTATTTAACACATATTGAGATTTTTTATTTTAAACACGTTTCTGAAATTTTAAGAGAGTTAAATACCTTGTACTTCTACTGCAAAAAAACCATTACCAATTGTTTATATCTTTGAAAAAGTATATAAAATATGTAACCATGGCAATGACTTAATTAAAGAATACTGGGTTTGAATATACTAATTGTTGCTTAAATGTTGCTGCATATAGGATATTCAGATACTTAATTATTGCTGTATGATAATTTTTTCCAAGATTTTTACACCATAAAACCAACCAGTATCAGAAGAAATGATTGAATGTTAACCAGAAAATGAGTTCAGTGTCCATAATTTTTCTTTTTATTTTCTGAAAGCACATTATAAGGGCTATCTTTTCATAGTTTATTTCAAAATTATAGATCATATAGATTTCTTAAATTCTTACAAAATTGTTTTGTCAATGTATAGTCTATACAAAATCTGAAAAATTTGCACACATTGTAGCTTGAATAAAGTCTGTGACCCCTGATTTTGTTATGTAATTGACTATATGTTGGCAAAGTACTAAAAAATTCTAAAGATTTTAATTTAGACCCCCGTCTACCATTATTTTTTTAACTTGCATTTTAGGGAAAAAACCTTTGAATAAGTGAATAATGCTAGTGCCAGATAATTATTATTTTAATTAATAAATCTATAGACCAAAATATAATTGGAATTTATTATGTCTGCATATTTTGATTCATAAGATACTGGTTAGTTTATGGTCTGACTTTGTAGTTAAAATTTTCTAATAATTGTAATTGAGTAATTTATTCTTATACAGCAATATTAAATATCTGATGGGTAATTAGATGTTAGAACTCGCATTTAACATTTGATGTGGAATATTTATTTGTAGATTTTTGGAATCTGCTTATCAAGAGCATTGGAAGGGCAGATTATGGATCAAAAAGCCAGATGGAATTTACCCAACTAAGTAAACCTTTCTTCTGATAGTATCCATAGTAGTTGATTTTTTTCTCTATTTAATTAGAAATTTTGAATTATAGTCCAGTAGGCCACTAAGGTAAAGCATGGAATCTTACTGAAGAATGAATGAAGTTGAAAATCAACAAAGCTCAATATAGGTCGTCAACGGAGACATCATTATTTGGGACAAAATTGGCCTAAAAATCAAATGTACTTCAAACTGTCTGTTGAATCTGTTTATTTTAATGAAACATTATAGTTTCAGTTTATAATATACCCTTAACATGAGTAATATAGCTACAAAATGACAGAAAATGCAGTAAAATATCAAAATTGTGCAAAATCATGACTTTGGCTTACACAGGCTTAGAAATATAAAGCACAACTGTTGTCCTACAAGATTTTCACATAGTAATAGTATTTTGTATTTATCTGTTTTCTGGCATAACATAATTTAGCCAAAATGTTCCGTATATTTACTTATTTTTATCAAAAAATCTGAACAATCTCACTTATGACGTTATTTTAATGACATCACTGTCAAATTGTGTCAAATGATTTGCCTTTTATGAAAGCCTTCATTTTAAAGGTTGAAAAAACATTAATAATGGTGTTATATATCATTAGCACATTAGCCCTAAGGGCCATGTGAGATATTGCCATCACTTGTTGTCTGTCATGGTTGTAAACTTAAAAAAAATATCCTCATTTGAAACTACTACACCAATTTCAAGCAAAGAAGGGCTGAATGATCCTTATTGTAAGCAGTAAAATAAGCTTGTTTTCGTTCCTCCCATTTAGCAAACATGGCTGCCATGGCTAACAATAGATCAGATTGGTGAAATGCATTAATAGTCCAATGTCTTGAAAACCATGATAGATATAGAAAATCTATTAGAAGCAAAATCTTCAAAATGTGAAGATTTGCCTACTTCTTATGTTTACCATAGTTTTCAGACAACTCCTAGAAGGTGTTATTGCCTTTAAATGACGTTTTTGGCTATTATTTTTTTATGTTTTTGGCTTTTATCTAAAAAACTATAATAATAAAACTGTAAAAAGGATGATCAGCCATGCTAAAACTACAAAAATGGAAATATGTAAAAACAATTGTATAAATCCTGAAGAATTTGTTACCCTTTTTATGAAATTTTTATGACTTTTTTTAATTTTGCCAAAAAATTTTGAAAAATTAAATATATAGATATAAGCAAAAATTATCGTCAATACAAACTTTACGAAGAAAATTTACAAATAAGGAAACATTTAAAATAAAAATCTTGGGAGCCTTATGTTTTATTTTCAGTGAATTTACACTTCTCTATATAGTAAAACAGGGGGGGAGGGGGCATAAAAATCTATAGTCTTATAGTTAAAAGTTAGTCAGTGTCCTCTTTCATTTTCATTTTTTATATTCAATAATTTTTTAGGTCAAAAAAGGGGAGGGGACAAAACATAAGGTTTTACCGCCAGTGTACAGGTGTAAAGTGATACACATTCCAGATATTTTCTTATCCTCTACCATAATTTTCAATATGGTACTAATACATGGGAGTAAGAATTTGGCTGTTTTGGTCCTGTTTCATTTAACAGTATCACAAAGCATTGCCTTACATCAGTATCATAAAAATTCCATAACTTGGCAAATATGCAAATGTGAGCAGTGGAAGATTGTAGCATAAAACATTTTTGAATGACAATGATATATTTTATTTTGCAGCTAGTTGGGATATTCCTAGCAAGAATGCTTGAAGGACAGATACTGGATCAGAAGACAAGATGGCAATATCAGGGATAGGGTCATTCATTAAAAAGGAGTTTGATTTATAACTTGTTATCATATATCACATTTTATACATTATTTGTTTATATATATATATTGTATTTGTAGTTATAAGATTTTTGTCATCTATCATTGAGAATTTCATCAGACAAAAAGAAATGTGCCTGTCCTGAACTTGCCAAATTTGGTTAAAAAATGAAACTTGCCAGATAAGTTTTGACTCTGCATTAATTATAAATTGGTGTGGAATATCAATAAACAAAACTCAAAAGTATTGTATTTTATGAAGTTGATGGATAATAAGTCTTGAAAAGGCTATAAACTTTAATGGTGGTCTATATAAAAGTTAGATGATGACCTCTGAAAAGTTTATTATAAATAGTTATTGTGAGATGATGACCTCTGAAAAGTTTATTATAAATAGTTATTGTGATTGACTATTGGTTAATCCAAGACTGTTGCGATGTTTGATGGTCTTCTTTGGACTTGCCAGCCCCAGCAATCTTGGACTTATAGTTTGTGAGTTACTCCCATGTTAGGTTCTTCAAATTGTCTGATTTGTTTGTACAAGTGTATTTGAGTCATAGTGATTTTTATTTGTATCATGTAAATACTTAATATACCTCCACTCAAGGAGTTTTTTGGTTGACTGCAATGGCCCTGTCTTTTTAGTTACTTTTCTTTAATTTTCATAATATATAACTCAACTTGTGAAGTAAGAAATGATTTGATATTTGGTTTGGGATTATATTGAGTTGAGTTGTCCTGTGTAAGTAATTTTCAGGTCTGCTAGTAAGTCACTTCCTGTTTGATGATACTTTTTTTTTATGTTCACTGACTGAGCAACTATTTTTACTTGTTACATTTTTTCAGCTTCTACATTAAGGAATCTTTTGATATTTGTACAGGAACTTTATATTGTTGAGTTAAACTTGTAATTAATTTTGAGACCTGCCCAGAAGTCTCTTTCTCTTTAATAACTTTGAATTTTTATTAAACTCACTGAGCACTGTTTGTTTTTGTAACATATGCTCTTCTTATGTGTTAATTTGGTATCAAATTTAACAATGTTGAGTTGTATGGTGAAAGTGGTTTTCTGATCTGCTGGGCTGTTACTTTCTGTTCAACAATACTTTGATTTTCATATTACCCAATAAGCATCAAATTTTTCATCACTGTCTTACAACAAGTGGGGATAAACTTTGCACAACATTGTGTGCATCTAATTTTTTTGTATATTTAATTCTTGTTTGTTTTTATTAGTCTCATATTTATATTCCATTGTATTGAATACATTCTGAATTATTTTTACACATTTTATATATATTTAATAGAATATATTACTGTAAAAGCAATTTCTGCACAATACTAGTCCTTATTAGTCATTTACATATACGTTTGTTTTTATCATACACTGTGTTATCTGTTTAATCTAAATGTATATTGGAAGGAGAGATTCCTAAAAAGAGTTTGAAAAGCAATTGGAAAAATACCTTGATGTGAAGATTTGATAACTTTAATTTGATATAAGATTTTTAAGTATTTTATTCCTCAGATAAGGACAAAGGGACCAACTTTTTAACTGGATTGAGTTGAAGAGATTAAATACTTTTTGTATATGTTTAAAGCCAAATTTAATTTGTTGACGTTGGGCAACAGGAATAAAAAAAAATGACACAAAAAATAAAATTTTTTACTAGAAATGAAAGCCACTTACACATTGAATCAAAGAGCCTAAATTAAGAAGTAAACCTTTACTCCTGAAATTATATATATGATGAAAGTTTCAAGGTTAAAGGTATTTATTATATAGAATAGAAAGAGTAAAGGTTTTTAAGTTTTAACTTGTAAGAAAATCAAAATTAGAATACACATATTTTTGTACCAGGTACTGGACATTTTTTGAGAAAATTGTGAAATTTAGTTTGTATATGCTTAACATATAAAATGTGGTCACTGTCTTACTTTTAAAAAATCACGATTAATAGAATGATAAGGGGGAAAATAGTGCCTTATATGCTTCAGCTTCTAATTATGAATAATCAAATGATATATTGTTAGGGAAATTCCATAACAAAGGGGGACATTTTTATCCACACCGACCATGTATTTAAACAGTTTGAATGAGACAACAGGTGTGTTGAAGAATCATTTTGAACTCCTTATGCTTTGAGATAATAGGAGAAAGTGATGTATGGCCTTACCAAATGCAAATTTTCTATCAGGAAACTTTTATTCTTTCTTAATTAGCTGATTTACTGATTGTAGAATGATTGTAATTGAAATGTTTGTAAATGTTGTAATTTAGTCTACCTTCTTTACATATGACTAAGGTAGGGTTGGGGATATCTATAATTTGCACAATATTGCTACAAATCTCTAAATGCAGTTTCACAAGTTGATGACAGAATTAAAAATAGATTCAAAAAGAAGGCTGCTTTGGTACTAAGACTATGGTATCATTGATTTTGTGAATCACACGTTTTTCTGGAATACATATATGTTGTAGTAGATTTGGTTATCATTTAGTCTTCACTCAGATACACATATGTATATTTTTCACACTCCAAAAAGTATTTCAAAGTAAAAGTTCAAAGATCAAATTGATTTGAATTCAAATTGTGGATTTTTTTATCAAACAACAGTACAAAAATATGGAACTCAGACAATTTATATGACCATTTAAAAGGCAAAAACATTTAAACATAAAATTCACTAACTTAAAAAAAAGATTTTGTTTTCCTACCTTCATTTATTATGCTTCAGTTGTTTTACTTTTAAACATTACAGTTTATATCTATTGCTGCAATTTCTTATGATTATAACCCACCAACAATAGAAGAGGGGCATTATGTTTGTTTTGTGTCTGTGTGTCTGTTTGTCCGTCCCATATCAGATAGAAGTTTTGGTTAAAGGTAGGTTAAAATTTTGGTTATAGAAAATTGGGATCACATCAACATGAAAGTTCATTATAAAGTTAACTGATGTATATGCCAAATTAGGGTTTTGACCCAGATTTCATGGTTCAGTGAACATGGAAATGTGATGGTGGGAGCAGGACATGGTGTCATATTCTGGTTGTTTTTTAATTCCAATCAACATTCCACAACAATTGTTTTTATTTCTCCAATTCTTCTGGCTTTTAAACCAGTTTTGACCAGTTGGATAATTTTTTGGATAAACCACAAATTGTTAAACAGTTGAGTGTGATTTCTTGCTAAATCTATTTGGAACTCTCCGCACAAAGTTTTGAATTGAATTAATAGAGAATTAAGTGTTACCATATGATTAAGATTTTTAACTACTATGTTTTTTTTTTCAAATTTTGAAATGCTTAGCAAGCTTTGCACTGCAAATCTTGAAAATTTTAGAATCTCAGGTGGCTAAATATCATATTCAAAGTGGAATTGTGGTAGAATTTTTATGTATATATTGCAAACATTTTTCTTAAATATTAATTGATATCACTATATACTGCTGGCAGATTTACAAAACTGAGATTAATGTACATAACTACACAATACATCACATGGGAGTCATGAAATTTGTTTTTAAATGTAAGTTTCAAGTCTTTTATTCATTCCTTAGGTGTTGTTTTTGGTGCCATTTTTATTTTATCTTTATCAGAAATCTCAGTTTTTGTATAGTTTTTATATGTAACATATCTTTATTGTTTGAAAGAGAAATATAAAGGTGCAGGATTATCTTATTCTATATGCTTTTGGCATCTTTTCAGAAGTTGGGGCACTTTTGCCTCTAGATTTGCATCAATTTAATATTTTGTAAAATATTTGATATGCATGTAATGTTTGCCACTGGACATAAGCCAACCAACTATTAATCAGATATTTTATCTATTTACTGAGTTACGATATGACAATTTGGGTTTATTTGTTCAGAAATTCACAGGAATAAAACACAACACAGTAAGTAGAGTTCTGAAAAAAAAAATCTATTTGTGGATACAAGGCATAATTATAATAATACATGCGTATTTACTTCTTTTGCCAAAATATTTCTTGTCTTTTAAAAGTCTTCCATTATTTACCTCTTTTTTTCCGTTGGAACAATATTTTTGTGGTTAATATTGCACAGGTTGCAATTGAATCCTTACAGTCACTGGCTGGTTAGCCAGAAATCTTCTGAACTTGTATTTGTGAGTTCATACAACACAGTGCAGTGAATTAAACTTGCTTATATCATATCCATGCTCATGTCGGGGTATTTGATTATAGTATATACATATACTCAAATATTAAAATTTACAAAACGATGTGTGCATTACCATACTTGTCAAGAAACCATTTTTATTAAAAATTGCACAAGTTGCAACATGTTATTGATCCGTTCTACCCATGGGAGATAACTAAATCCAAAATATTGGCTTATTATGTTTCTTTGGTGAATGTATAACAAAATACAAACTACTTATTGGCTTGTTACAAGAATTTCTCAAAAAACACTAGTTTAGGAATAAATACAAATATAGTTTCATAATCTACAAAAAATGGTCCCCACAAAATACAGTAACTGACATAGATGAAAAACAAAAGATATGGGGTATCCATCCATGACACAAAATCAGTACATGAACAGTGAAAAACACCCAAAAAGCAAAAGAATGGCGCTTTTATTGCTGTTCTTCATCTCAAAGTCACAGGGAGGCCTTCAACAAGGAGCAATTTTTTTTTTTATTAAAATTTGTTCCTGACCTACATTTAAATACTCTTGGTATGGGTTTTTCCCCCCACAAACTTTATATTAAAAGATCAATACAAGATATTGTAATAGTTTGTACAGTAGAATATACATAGGTGCTGTTATTTGCAGATAATTTCTTGAATACTCATTTTCTGAGATTTTTATATTAGATCTGTGGTTGAGGTATTTAGATATGACTTATTGTTGAAATGTTAATTCATAATAGATCATGTAACAATTCCTGTCTGTTTATTACTTTCAAAATAAGCTACATGTAATGCAGTCAATTAATACTACAATTATATTGGACCAATGTTATGTATATTTTTTGTCATTTACTCCTGTTTTCTTTTTTTTACCAGAATTATTCTAAGTCATTTAAACATTCAAGTTAATAAAAACATATATATTTTCAATATTGATATTGTACTGAAGAGAAAGTATTGATGAGGGTCTGGATGAGTGGTCCTTCATTTCTGTATTCTTTATATATTAAATTATAAGTCATTTTTCTCTATTCTTTAAATATTTAGGTCATTTTTCTCTATTCTTTTATATCATTTGCCCATGATGCTCTATTCTTTATATTTTAGAGCCCCATTATTCTCTTTTCTTAATTTTTTCACCTTATTTTTCTGTATTCTATATTTTTGTTTGATTTTTCTGTACATTTGGCACATTTTTATCTATTGTGTAAACCCCATCCAGACCGTCATTAATGTTGCCCTACAGATTTTTTTCTGTTTTTGTCATTGGGCTGCTGTCTCATTGATCTATACCTCATATCCTTAACATTATTTTTTTCAATATTTTCAATAATATAAGGTCAAATTTTGTTGCCCTACTGTACTATACTTATTATTGAAATAGAATCTCAAGCCCAACAACATATATAATATAACAAAAAGATAAACCTCAGGATCTGCATCCTATAATGTAACATATCTCAAATACAATGTTCTCTGTCTAAAATTAGTTATATGTATAGATTTCAATTTTTGAGATAAAAAAAAATAAAGTTCTCTGTCTCAGAACTACTTTGAGATAATAATTTAACATCCCCCCTTCCAAATAAATAACATTTAAGTCAGTAAAGATACAAAACGAAAACCATTTAATTAAATTAACTGGAGAATTGTTGAGCATTTTGTATAAAAGATATTTACTCTTATTAAAGCTTGTTACATTTTTTGCAATGTTAGTTTTTTCATGTTTATATATTGTTACAATTTGTATTCTACATTTAAAACAGAGGAGAATATTTTTAGAAAAATAAAATGGTTTTTGGTACACCTTACATTCTTATTTATCCATATATTGGGCAAGGAGCTGTTTCAGACAGTGACCAGTTATAATCACAGGGCATTTCCTGTTTTAACAGATTTGTTGTGGAATAAAGCATACTACTGATAACTTCAGACAAACATATTTTTTATTAGATATATAGTGGTCAATTCCATTATTTTAATAACATTGAAAACCTTGATGGAAGATGTCGGTCATGTTGTAAAATTGCTTTATGGCTTACTTGATTTATGAAAATCTGACATTCTCATAAATGTAGATTTAAAATTAGTCGGTTGTATTGATGATGGCAGTAAAGATGTCTATAGGGCAAGAGAACCACAAGTAAATAATAGAAAGGGAAAAGCAAAGATAATGATGCAGCACATGATTAATTATCTTATGTATCATGGACCAGAGATTGTACTGCTGCAATAGAACTTGCCTATCTGCATTTTCAAAAATAAATAATATTATGATCATTCAGGGGTAAATAATATATATACACATATTTAAAAAATACCTAAAAGATATTTACATGTTAGTTTGCATGTCCTAAATTGGGAACCTCATCAGTAGCTGTAAATGATATATCTTTTTTGTTATTTTGAGAATTTTGATTAGACAGCATATCTTTGAAATTTGTTCTTTCCTTTAAAAAAATATTTAGAGCTTGACATATAGTAAAGACAACAATTTGGTGTATTTAAAAGACTTTCTGTTGACCTATAGATGTGTTTTGATTATTTTGGTCATTGCGTTGCTGTCTTATTGATGTATACCCCACATCTCTTTTAAATTATTTTTACAAATAAATTTATTTATAAATATAAAAATATTGGTAGTTTTGTAAAGGTGGGAATCTTGTATTTAGAAGACAGCCTCACATTATGGGTATGTGAAATTAATAATGTGCTTAATTTCATAATTTTCATTGTCAACTGTTAACATCGAAAGAAATTTGTGAATCATATTTGTCACATTCAGTTTCCTACTCGTCCACCACTACAACACGGTGAACATAGAAATACCTAGCGTCCGTACGTCTTTCACCATGGTCCTGTAAACGCATTCACACATACCATTCTTGCTTGATTACTAAGAAATTTATATCAAAGGTTTATATCAGCGATGTCTTTGGAGACGGTTCGAAAATCAGCGACGATCAATTATTTTTACAGGAGTTATGTCCTTGGAAATTTCATATCTATGGAAAATAGAATTGCATGTAGTATATGCAGGACGAAAACGAATAAAAATAATAGGAAGGTTCTGTAAGGCAGGTCGACCACAGAGAAAAAACACGAAAAGGCAAACAGCAGTCTACAAAACACTACATTGAAAATTAAAACCTGAGCCCCACCAAAGTAGCCGGGGAGGATATCAGGTGTACAGGAACGATAGGCAGATCCTGCTCTTCCAGTTGTAACTAGAAAATGAAAAGATCATTATGTGTGCGTTCCAACCATGTTCTTTTTTTTATTATTCAATATTTTATAATAATAAATCGTCTCAAAAGCAAACCGAATACCAGTAGATTTGCGGCGATAGTAAAGGGTATCACTCGAGGAAACAACTCACGTTGTGACATATTAATCCGCCATGAGTGTTGTATTTCCATATCCTTTTAGAAGAATATTGTTTTCCAGACCTGTTATATAAGTGTTTGGACGGCTAAACAAATTGAAAAGCAAAAGTTGAAAAAAGGAAAAACTTTATTTAACTTTTATGATAGTAAAGCAGGACCCTTCGCTGTCTTCATTAAGACTATTGGTTACCGATTGAACCCAGATAGTGTCGTGCGTTTTCAGATATTAAACAGCTATCACGGCTGTACTCATTTCATAGTGGCCATCATCGGAGATGTACGTATGATAAACACGCCTTCCATTATGGTAAATGTCAAATTTTCCACGAACTGTAAACGATAAGATTGTCACCGTTAGATGGTATAGCCCTTCTGCTGTACAACTAAATTTTCCACTACTTTCAAATGAAGATAAAACACTTTTTCCGATCCGAGTTCTTACCAAAGGAAATTTTATAATGGACCCAACGTCATAGTATACATTACTCTGTGCACAAGCGGAAACTGCAACTACAAAATAAATTAGAAGATGATATAACTTTGAACTAATAAGGTATTTTTGACATATCATGTTTGACTCTTTTTCATAGATGTTCTAAGTATATCTAATTTGTCTACTAATGCAGTTTTACTTGTTGTTTTGGAATAAAAAATATAATGGCCTATAAAAATACACAAATAATTAACGAATTCACAATGTGAAGAAATACAGAAGTGAAACGGATCCTACATTTTTAGTTTATAAAATAAAAAAGAGGTTACCCGGTAGACAGAGAGGACATGATCAGGACATAGTACATTAACATACAATCCTAATTGGTCCTTTGAATAAACCCATTCTTAAAGGTCATCAATTTAGCATTGCAGTAAGATCTTTGAGTATTTTTTATCTATGAAAACATTGATTTCATTTTTAAAACAAGAGGCGAAAAATACCAAAGGGACATTCAATATAAAAATAAGAAGATGTGGTATGATTGCCAATGAGACAACTCTCCATCAGAGACCAAATTACATAGAAGTTTACAACTATAGGTCACCGAACAACCTTCAACAATGAGCAAAAACCATACCACATAGTCAGCTATAAAAGGCCCCGAATTGACAAATGTAATACAATTCAAACGAGAAAACTAACGGCCTGATTTATGTACAAGACAATGAACGTAAAACAAATATGATATACAGCAAAAAACGACAACCACTGAATTACAGGCTCCTGACGTGAGACAGGCAACTACAGAATACGGCGGGGTTAAACAAGTTTGTTGGCGCCAAAACCTCCCCCTAACCTGGGACAGCAGTGTAACAGTACAACATAAGAACAAACTATAAAAATCAGTTGAAAAGGGCTCAACTTATCAGATCGTACAAGGCAGAAAAAACATCTAACAAAAACATAGACCTGACGAAGCAGGGTATTTATACAGCCCCACAACTAAAAAGACACTAAGTACAGATATGAGAGTACTCGCAATTACTGAGAGCTTATTCAAAGCCAATAAATCTAATAAAAACATGCACCAAAGACTAAAATATCAATCAATACACATCCAACACCCATTGGATTTAGAGTAAAGACGGCAATAACAGTCAGAGAAAAACACGACTTTGTGCAATGCCAGGATACAGGTCATAAGTCGAAAATAAACTGACAACGCAATGGCAAGAAAAGAAAGAGACAAACAACAGTATACAAGACACAACATAGAAAACTAAAGACTGTTTAATTGTTTAAAAAATAACTATACATATATTGCTTTCTAGATATAAACACTTATGGTCTTACATCTTGTCGATACCTATATTTTGGAATTACACATTGTCATTTTTCCAGACTGCTTATGACGTCTTTACACTTAATACGCTAGGGGTGTACTGATTTGCATTGCAGTCTAAGTGAACACTCTTTATCAATTAGTTGAAATTTTGCTTTAAACTAGCTTCATTAACAATTAGTACTCTTAGATCGGTACTTTGTGTCTTTTGTCTCTTTGTTATTTGTTTGTAATGCTCAGTTACCAACCAGCCCTTTCTAGCTGACTTGTTTGTGCAGTGTTTACTTGAGTCGTGTTGTTACGCAACTGTCCTAAGTTATGTGGTGGTTTGAGCGGTAACAATATACAATAAGGAGTTGTGGTAGGATTGGCAATGAGACAACCATCCAACAGGGTCGAATTAAAGAGGTTTTACTCGTTCTTGAAGGCCGTACGGTGACCTATAGTTGTTAATTTCTGTGTCATTTGGTCTCTTGTGGAGAGTTGTATGATAATAATACAAACAATACCTTACAAACTACTTATTCAGTTGTGATCGTAGTTTCCAATTTTCATTTAACAAGCAACAAAGTTTAAACACCAAAGTTCTTGAACATGTTCTTGAGCTGTTCGATGATGACCTGTAATTATTCACATCATTATCCTTTGGTCTTTATATTGAGTTGTCTCATTGACAATGATGCCACGTCTGCTACTTATATTGGTAACATACAATTGTAATATTTAAAAAAAAAATTACTGCATTTAATTTTAATGTTTCATAATTTTTTTATTTATATATATATTGTATATGTAGTAACTAATCTATAATAGTATGTTCTATTTAAAATCATTTAGCTTCCAGAGCACAGAAAACAAAAATAATGATACCTGTTTCACGAATATTGGAAATATTCTGTTCTATTTGGAATAAACGATTGTTTCCGTTTACTTTCATATCAACTGTCTGGTTATATAACGCTAAAAAATCCTGACCTCTGGCTTGTTCGTTGACTGCTAATGAATGCGTCTGTATCTCTATTGATTGAATTTTTTGCTTCAAATAATTCAATTCTTGTAGTTGTTGCACAGTTTTCAACTCTGCAAATGTGTCAACCTTACTTTCCATAAACGCCATTTTGGAATTTGTCTGTGACAGCTCGTTTTCCAACAATACGTAATCCTTTTTCAAACTTGAAAATTCAGTCTGTTAATTTATATGATTTTTGGCTAGTTCAGAGTATTTGTTCTGGGTTGCTTCATACATTTCTGCCGAATTATTAGCCGCTGTCAAGGTTTATTCAACTTGAGTTCGTTGAATTTTATCTGCAACTGAGAAGTCAGGACAACAAGTGTTTTATCGCACTCAATTCGATTTTGTTCCATTGTATGTCGTAATTCATCATTTTCTCGTTGCAATTGCTTTATAGTGCTGTGGAATTCCGTCAGAGTCAAATATTGACCATTTCCCGCCGCTTGGATTCCTCCGTTGTTGTTACTGTCAAGTATAAACCCTCCTACAGCTGAATAGGCCAACATTTGAAGGAACAAACCCTGTAAAATAACAGTTTTTGTCACACCTGTTTGTGTTTTGATAAGTTTATATCTAATAACAGCGAATTCCCAATTTTACAGACAAAGTTATTATTTTGGTTTACTTTAGAAT